AAATAAACAAATTTAAGAAATTTTTGAGTCAAGAAAAATTTTTAAAAAATTTTAAAAAATTTCTGAAGGTAGTTAATTGAGAGAAATATTCAATATGGAAAGGTGTCGTTGAAGAAAGTAATTTTTGTTGTTTAAAAATGGAAAATAAAATAATAATGGAAATAAAGATGTATTTAAAAGGCAAATAAAACCAAAAAAGGCAAATATAAAAATTTGATGAGGGAAATTGAAAAAGTTTTTTTTCTGTTTAAAATGCCAACTCACAACAATAATAAAACTAAAAACACGTTTTTAAGGATAAAAAATTGAAGTTAATTTGTGAAGACGAAAATGATGATGACAATAAAGCCTCCTCTTTTTTTGTCGAATGAAAAAAATGAGGAAATGAAAAATTATTTTTTGGCAGTTTTTTTGATTAAAAATTTTTTATTTTTTGGTGTGAAGAGATTTTTGCCGTATGACAACAATATTATTATTTTTACAAAAGAGAAGTGGAGCAACCTAAGGAAGAACTAAGGAAGAATTCTTAATTTCACCAAAAGGTGTTCGGACAAACAAGAGACGTCTTAAAAAAAGCTACGGAAAATGGACACCTTTTTTAACCCCAATTAAAAATAACCAGGCTCTCCTCAGATTAAAGTTCAAAATTAACTTTTTTGACAATTTATTTGGAATAAATTTTATAAGAAGAATTTGGACATTTTTTTGGACATTTTTTAAAATAAGGATAATGTCAGAAAATTATTAAAAGAAATATAGGCAAACAAAAAAATTTAAAAGGTTGATTCAAGCGGCGACTGTTATATCCCCCTTCAACGAGAAAAGAACGACGAAAGAATTTTTTTATGGAAGAATTGACCATTAAGTGTATTTACAATGAGAGAAAAGTGCGGTAGAAAAAAGAACAAATATTTTAATGTCCAAGTCTTTGCAAAGATGTGAATAATAAGGCGCCAAAATATTTTTGAAAGAATTCTTGTCTAGGCAAAAATTGAAGAGAACTAAGAAAAAGTCGGGCAAAAATTGGAAAAAAAGGTCATGAAAAATAAGAGGACGTGACCTAGAATAAGAGGACGTGACCTATTAAGAGGCCAAAACGAAGAAAAATAGAGACGTAAGGCAAAAAAGAAGAGATATAATTTGACAAAAAGGCGTTTTGTCAAGAAAAGGGATATCCTAAAAATCTACGGAAACTTTGGACGAATAAAACCCTTATGGCCCCAACCCTAATCAAATAAAAACAAAAAAACCTTCGAATTTCCTCGTAATTTCAACACTTCAAGAAACAGTCGTCTCTCATTTAAACTGGCCTTTTTCTAATTTTATTCGTCTACTTCTCCATTCGAAATTCTATTCCATAAACAATCCTACAAAAATAAACTTGATCTCTTCTTTAAAAAAATAATACCAAAATTAGAAATCTCGAGCATAAAGTTTGTCCAACCAAAATTTTGTAGAATTTGTGTAGAATTGGGTCACATTTGTCCTTCCTGTTGTCCATAACTTAAAAAAACTAGAATATTCCTTTTAAAGTTCTTCTTTTGTCCCGAAAAATATTAGTAGCCAAATAATAATAAATATAAATAAACTAGAATTAATACTAGTTATATTCAATTAACACAAAATTATTTCCAACTCTTAAAAAAGATTTATTTGTTTATTCAATTATTTTATTTAAAAAAAAAGAGATTGACAAGAATAGAAAAATCTTATAATAATTGAAAAATGTCTAAAAAACAAGGAAAAAATTTTTTTCAAGTTAACAGATTAATTGTAAAATGTTCTGTCCTATTTTAAATGCTATAAAAAATAATTTTCCCACAAAAGGGTTCGAACCATGGTCATTGTCTCCACAGAATTAAAAATTATCCCACTACACCAAAAAGAAAAATTTTTTAACAGAAAGAAATTTTTAAGGGAACGGATTTTAACAGGATTTTAAAGAGAAAATATTTTAAAAAATAATTTACCCCCAAAAGGGTTCGAACCAGAGACCTTGACTTACAAAATCAAAAATTATCCCACTATACCAGAAATAAAAAATTTTGAGAAATAATTTTCACCGAATTATATAATATAAAATCCAGAGCCCAATTAAATTTAAAAACTAATATCGGCCGGCCGAAGGCCGGCCGCTTCCCCGAAGCCTGACATCCTGGGGGCAACTTTTTACGGCGCATTCAGGAAAATTATAGCTGTGGCGCCACAACTTTTCCATTGCGCCGAAACGACCCCACTAAAATTTTTATCTCGTGAACCGTAAGTCGGAGCAGAAAAAGTCTGCTGGGAGGCACGCGCGCCACGATTAGTAGATATGATTTAAAAAAAAAATTTCGAAATTCGGTGAAGTCTAAATACCGAAGTGCCTGTTCATTGGTTTTTATTTGGTCCCCAAACCAATTAATTGGTTTTTTGATTTTCTATATCTCGTGAACGGCGCGGCGGAATTGGATGGGACCTGGGGGGGTATTATGGAATCGCATATGTAGAATTTTTTGGGATGGGTTGTTTCGGCGCCACACTTGAGTGCGGCGCCGAAATGGCCGGATGAAAAATTCAACGAGTTATAACGCATTTTTGAGAACTGGGGGGTCTTGGGGCCTGGGAGTGATATTGGAGGGTAGAGTGTGGGGAAGTTATCGGGTGTTGACCACTTGAGTCTCAGATGAAGTTTTGGGGGTCATATGGGTCAAAGTGTCAAGGTCGAAAAGTCGACTTTTTGTAACGTGAATTGAAACTCGATTTCGATAGCCAGTTCGAAAGAGCGTCCCCTGGGGCTCCGAAAAAGGTATAATATGTTGGGGGTCCACTTGAGTCTCAAAAAGTTATAGCCATTGTGGCCAAATGTCGTAAATCTTTTTGAGACTCTAACGTCCTGGAGAATTTTTATAAAATTTTTCTGAGACCGGAAATGGACTCAGCGGGTGCCAAAGCACCATATAGGGTGTTTTTTGAGTCGGGAATAAAAATTTTTTTCCCGACCCCATTCCAAAAGGGCCCCATTCCAAAATCCCCCCCTTTTGGGGGATTTTCGCGATTTTTTAAATCGCCATAACTTTTTTTGGGATTTTTGGATTGGGGTGGGGTTTCTTTCTAAAAATACTACTAAAAATTAGATATTTTTTGATCGAAGAAAATTTCGAAAAAAATTCGAAATTGGGGGTGTAGGGGTCGAATTTCGAAAACCCGAAAATTTTTCGGTTTTTCGAAAAAATTCCGGGTTTTTTGCCGGCGGTTCGGCCCATTAAGTATTTTTCCTATGTAGAGCAGATTTTTCTACATAGAATAGCTCTTTAAAACTTTCAAAAAAGGTATACTTTGAGAAAGTTACGAATTTTTTAAAAATTCGGCGATTTTTCCGGCGAAAATTTTCGGCCAAAAAAAATATTTTTTTCAAAATGGGTTTAGATGGGGCAAATTACATATCAATCGAAAGCCCTGACAGAGGGGAGTCTAAAAATATTTTTTCGAAAATTTTCTTTCCATTTTGGCAAAAGTTAGAGAGGGTCGAAATTTCGTGGGTGGGGGTACCACACCCAGTGGGGTACCGACGAAATGGTTATAAATAAAAAAGACTTACGTTATGTTGTAGAGCGTCCACAAATACACCAAAAAACATATACTTTGTTTGGGGGGTCACTTGAGTCTTACTAAATTATAGGGGTCAGAGTTTCGGGCGTGGGGGTCTTGGGGGCCGAAGGCCCCCAAACCGAGGCCGAAGGCCGAGGAGGGATCTAAACGCTGCGTTTGGGGGGCCGAAGGCCCCCCAAACGCCTCGAGTCAAACCACCAAAGCTACCTATAGGCAAAGTATCCTCCTAAACGCTGCGTTTGGGGGGCCGAAGGCCCCCCAAACGCCTCGAGTCAAACCACCAAAGCTACCTAAAGGCAAAGTATCCTTCTAAACTTTGGATTATTTTTTAAAAAAAGAAGCAAAAAAAGGACCTTGGGAAAAGGGAGGGAGTCATTAAGGACGCCTCGAGTCAAACCACCAAAGCTACCTAAAGGCAAAGTATCCTTCTAAACTTTGGGTTTGGGGGGCCGAAGGCCCCCCAAACGCCCCGAATCAACCCACCTCAGCTACTTAAAGGCGCAGTACCGTCTAAACGTTGGGTTTGGGGGGCCGAAGGCCCCCCAAACGCCCCGAGTGAACCTACCACAGCTACCTAAAGGCAAAGTATCCTCCTAAACGCTGCGTTTGGGGGGCCGAAGGCCCCCCAAACGCCTCGAGTCAAACCACCAAAGCTACCTAAAGGCAAAGTATCCTTCTAAACTTTGGATTATTTTTTAAAAAAAGAAGCCCAAACGCCCACCCAAACGCCCCGAATCAACCCACCTCAGCTACTTAAAGGCACAGTATACGTCTAAACGTTGGGTTTGGGGGCCGTAGGCCCCCAAACGCCCCGAATCAACCCACCAAAGCTACCTAAAGGCAAATTATCCACCTAAACGTTGGGTTTGGGGGCCGAAGGCCCCCAAACGCCCCGAGTCAACCAACCAAATGTACCTAAAAGCAAAGTATCAGTCTAAACGGTGGGTTTGGGGGGCCGAAGGCCCCCCAAACGCCCCGAGTCAACCCACCAAAGCTACCTATAGGCAAAGTATCCTCCTAAACGGTGGGTTTGGGGGGCCGAAGGCCCCCAAACGCCCCGAGTGAACCTACAACAGCTACCTAAAGGCAAAGTATCCTCCTAAACTTTGGGTTTGGGGGGCCGAAGGCCCCCAAAATGCAAAGCAAAAAATTTAAATATATTTAACGTAAATCGCCAAGCAAAAAACAAATCTAGCGTCCTTTTAAAGCCGCAGGCTTTCCACGCGCGTCCCTGGACGCGCCCCCAAACGATTCTCATCGGTCCAGAAATGTAACCAAACGCTCCCCCCAGCGTAACCAAACCCAAAAGCTACACGTCCATTCAGCTACTCACCCTTCAGCTAGTTTTTAAAAGAAAATATTCAAAAAAACTTCAAAAAATAAAAAAATCCTCTTTTCATAATTTTTCTCTAATCATCCCACACAGAATTAAAACCATTTGTTTGTCTTTTTTGTTGTTCATTTCCATACAAAAGTTGAGGATCATTAATTCCTTCAATTTTTTCATAAATTAAAGGAGTATTTAATATTATTTGTTTTTGTTGTTGTTGATTTGTTGAAGTTAATGTTTGTTGTTCTCCTCCTCCTTCAGTTTGTGTATTTGTTGGCGGTAAATGACGAAGGAAAAACATTAAAGGAGCATAACAAAAATTTATTGCCGCTATGAAATACATCATTCTATTTAATTAAAAAAATAATTAATAAAAATACTGAAAGTCCAATAAAACCGGAAGGACATTTTTGTCCATAAACCCCGATTTGACATTTTGTCCAATAATATCAATACTTAAAATAAAAATGGACATTTTGAGATTCATTTTATCAAATTGGGCTGTGTGGTCATTTTGTCCATCAAAAATTATTAAACGTTTTGTCTATGTATAACCCCAATGACTATCTTCAGGACAGGATTGGACATTTTGTCCTTGCGACATTTGTCTGCAAAAAATTTTGTCCTGGCAATTTATGGACATTTTGCACGTTCAAAAAATCTTGTCCATAAATTAATAATTTTTTAAAAGAAAACTCACGTCGGAAATCCAACAGACCTCACAAGAGGTCCACTAAAGAAAGGCCCAAGAAAGAAAGCAAAACAAAAAGCAGCATCAGCAATCGCATAAATTGAACCATAAACGCCTTAGAAAAAAATTTTTTAAGTTAAAAAATTAAAGAAATAATTCATACCAACATGACGAATATCAACAATATAACCCATCATTGGGAACATTGAAGCATCAATCATTCCAATAGAAAATCCCATAAAAAAGTTAGGTAAGACAAGTCCATAAATTGATTCTGCTGAAGGAATCTTTTAAAAATTGAAAAAAATTTTTTGAAAAAATTCTTTAAAAATACCAAAATTAAACAAAATCCAATTACAACAATTCCAATAAATGTACTCAACCATCTGAAATTTCAAAAAAAAATTTTTTATCTGGAAATTTCAAAGATGTTGTTCAAATTATTTTTGAATTATTCTTTAGGTTGGGGAAAGTTTTCTGGAGTTGAGAGAAATTTTTTCTTGTCTCATAAGACACAAGATGCAATAAGGATATAATGAGACCCTTAAACAACATTAAAAAAAATTTTCAGTGTTCTAAACTCCTATGGTCTGATGAAGAAATAAAATCTCCCCAAGCCCAGGAAAAAAATTTTAAAAAATTTTTAGAACCTAGACTGCGTATAAATAGTCAAAAATAAATTAAAAATATTCAAAAAAATAAAAAAAACCTTCCAATTTTGTGAGCTAAAGGTCCAAATATATTAGTTCCAATCATATAAGATATTGAAGCTGGCTAAAAAATATTTAAAAAAGTTTTCAAAAAAATTTTTTGCTTACAAGAAAAGCAGCTCCTCTTTCAAAAGATGTTGCTTTAAAAATAAAATTATAAAAAAATTTCCTTTTAAAAATTTTCCTTACCTGACCAGCTTTCCATCATCCAAAGAGGCAGGGAAGGTTCAAGTATTGCAATACCCAAATTTCCAATGGTTATTGAACCTTTAAAAATGAGGATAAAGTTAAAAAATCTTCTAAATATAAAGGAATAGAAATATTTTTAATTTAACTCATTTAAAAATAATTTTCCCCCGAAAGGGTTCGAACCATGAACATTCTCCCCACAAAATCAAAAATTATCCCACTACACCAAAAAAACACAAAACGAAATTTTTTAAATACTTAACCGAATCTTTAGCTTATTGACAAAAAATAAACCTGCAGCAACCACAATATAAGGGTCTTTAATTAATTCCAAAATTGCTGTTCCCTCAGGTTCTCCTCTATCAATTTTAGGTTGTAGCAGTAAAAATTGAACAGCTTAAAATTTTTTTTTAATTTTTTAAATAAAAACAAACTTCCATCAAACAATGCAAGCAAAGCAAGTAAAATGAAAGGAAGTTCCTTTCCTGCCCATTGATAAAGCAAGCTTTGAAAGAAATTTTAAAAAGCTTAAAAAATGCCTTCTTAAAAATACCCTCCATAAGGCGGCCCAACAAGTACACCCAAAGCTAATCCACCCAAAGCAATACCCATTGCACTTCCACGTTCAGCATCATCTGGATAAGCTTGGGCAAGCATTCCCATACCTTAAAAAAGTTTAAAAAAAATTTTTTTAAATTTTTTTATTTTTTAAAAATTTACCAGAAGTGCTGGTACATGCAGAACCAACACCTTCAAAATAAAAATTTTTTTGCAACTTTTAAGAAAACCTTGTAAAGCTCTAGCCAACCAAAGCGAGCTAAAAGAACTTCCAAATGCAAAAAGCAATGTTGACAGAAATAAAATAATGAAGCCGCCAAACATTGGTACTGTATAACCAATCCTTTTTTTATTATTGTATTAAAAATTTGAAGAATTAAAAAAAATTTTCCAACTCACTTATTTGTCAACGGTCCAATTCTGAAATTGAAAAAAAATTAAAAAATTGGTTTAAAAATAATTTTCCCCAGAAGGGCTCGAACCATGGTCATTGCCCCCACAAAATTAAAAATTATCCCACTACACCAAAGAACAGAAAATCCGCAAATTTTGTCCACAATTTTAAGGACTTGCGGACATTCAAAAAAACAAAAAATTAAAAAAAAACTAACAACGGATTGGTAATTAATTGGATTAAAGCCTTTGACCCAAACATTAATCCAACGTGAACATTTTCATCCGCTAAAGTTTCATGACGCAAACGTTCTTTTTGTAGACGATAATTTTGCTGTTGCTGTTGTTTTAATGTGGAATTTTTTCTTGAAAATTTTGAATTTAATTTTGGTTGAATATAAAGATTGTCGTCATCTAATTGGCTGTTTTCTTCCTAAAATAAAGAGAGAGAAAAAAATTTTTCTTATAAAAACCAAAGAGACAGACGATAATTTTCCATCCCATCCCTCGAATTTAAGGTCAAGGGTACCAAAAGTAACATTAAACCCCCAAAATAACTAAATATCAAAAGGGTGACATTTCATCCCAGAATCTCCCCGTTTATCGTCCTTACGTGTGGGGGCTAACTCGAGGAATTCAAAATCACGGAACAGACAGGTCACGGAACTACAAGTCACAGAATTACCAAATCGCGGAATGACCACAATACGGACTATTTTAAAAATTGGATTTTAAATATCAGAATTGTTATTTTAATATCAGAACTTGTCGTAAATCGACTTGTCCGTTCCGTGTTAGCCTGACTCCTTAAGACATTAAAAATACACTTAAACTTGCATTTTGCCCAATATTAATTGTTCCAGGAAGTGTTTCATAGTCATTATTATTGTCAGTGTCCCTCAAAGGTTTCTCATTAAATTTACTATTAGCTCTCATCCCATTTCCTTTGTTACCTTTTGATTTTACCTTAAAAAATTTATATAAAAAATTTCAAAGAAAAAATACTTTTGACTTTCTCCTCAATTCCTTCTTTTCATTAAAATCATTATTATCATCCCAATCAGGACTATCCCATGACAAAGTTTGACGTTTCCTTCGTTGATTTTCATATAATTGTAATTCATCTCCATTTAATGAAAAATCATCTATTTTATCGTTTAAAAGTAAATCTGTTGAATTTGGATGCTGGATACGCAATAAATACTCAGGAATTATTGGTACCTTGATAAAAAATGATAAGAGAATGATAAAAAGATAATTAAAATCATTTAAACTGGTAAAAAAGCAAGCCAAAATAATCAAAATTTAAAATGACAAAATATCCCTTTTTTCTTACTGTACTTTTTGTGTCAAAACTTTTCGTGTCGAAACTTTGCGTTATTTTTATTTTCAAAAAAATAAAATAAACTTTACCACAGTTGTCAATAACATGTTGTCCAAAAATATTGCTACATAAACAATGGCAAGAAGCATTTTTCGATTTTGGCGATAACGAAGAACAAAATTGTTTATATAATCCATAGCTTATTTAAATTATAACCTAGCTTTAGCTAAAAAAAATTTTTTAATAAAAATTCTGACAAGCACCTTAACAAAAATTATAAAATGTAGGGAGAGATTAAGCTGACTATCATTTAAAACGCTTACTAAGCGAGGGTTTAAGATCTATTTTTAAAAAGAAGGTGATGGTGAAGAAGGCTGCCACTCAGCTGGTGAATGGCAGCTCCTAGCAATGACAGGAAGGCCACAGGATCGGTGCCGGGGAAGGCCGCAAGATCACACTTAAAGAAATGGCGATTTATGCCAAGAAAATCTCTCTATTTCTTTAAAAAATTCATTTTTAGGTTAAAAAACACAAAAAATAAATTTATTATTGAGAAGATTGTCAAGCTCTTTCTCCTATTAAATGTTCTCTTTGTAACCATATACTCCTTAAATATTTTTATTTATTTTTCTGAAAAAGAGCAGCAAGCACAAGCAAAACAAGCAACCTTTCCGTTACAGGAGAATGCGTGTAAATGATGGGTTTTTTTTGTTGAGGTTTTTTAAAAAGAGGAAAAAATGCCAAAAATATATGAGATCCAACTAAAGCTAAAGAAGGGGAAGAAGGAAATTACCCACTTAAAAAATTGAGAGAATAGACCTTGTAAAAAATATTTCTCTCCCACAAATCTCTCGCAATTTTCTCTCCTTAAAGGGGAAAATGGGGGGAGGGGAAGCTTTTGAAAAAAAAAATTTATTTATTATTATTAGGGAGAGAAAAGCCTCTTTTTTTCTTGCAATGGATATGAGGGCCTAAAGAAAGGAATATATTAAAAAAATCTTGGTCCAACAAAAAATAAATTCTCGATGGCGCATTTTCTCTCTTTTACTTTTTTTTACTCAAGAACCATAAATAATAGTGTAAAGGAGCTTACTATCTCAACACACCTACGCAAAAAAATTATTTTTTTATTACCTATGCTAAAATAAAAATTTTTTTGTTCCAAACAAAAAAGGGAATATGGAACAGTTTACCCCCAAAAAAGTCTAAAGAAAATTATTTTAAAAATTTTGTAAGTCAGAGAATGGAATCAGAAGAAACAATGGTCAACTATAAGGAACTCTTATTTCTTTATACCAGGTTCCCGAAAATCGGGACTTCCCGACGATTTTCTGGGTCGGGATCCCGATTTCCCGAAATGGGGAATTTTATTTTTGTCGGCTCGTTCCCTGGTTTATAAAAATAAAAAGACAAAAGAATTAAATCCATAAATATTATACAACGGCAAAAAATCCTTTAAAAAGGGATACCTATATTAAATTTCAACACAACAAAGCCTATATATGCTTTGTTCTTAACTAATTTAAAGTAAAAAAAAGCTGTTCCTTTATTTTAATGTTTATATTTAATTAAAAAAAGGAACAGCTCTATAATCTCCAATTTCTCATTTTCCCAATTTTGGAAAGGTCCAAGATTTGGAATGAACCTTAAAGTGGTCCGTTAAAGTTCCTTAAAAAAGGTTGTTTAAATTCATCACCTTATTGAAAGGACAAAAAAAAGAATTTTTTTTGAAAATCAATTTTGAAAAAATTTTTATTTTTCAAAAAAGAAAAAATATATCCAACAATAAAAGAACCCACAAAAAAATTGAATAATAAAAGAAAATAATAATGCTTTTCTCAAAAACGTGAGAAAAAAATTTTTTCCATGACTAGAAAATTAGATATATCATCATAATAAAGAGATAAAAATTTTTGAGTAAAAAAATGAAGATTCTTGACAGTTATGCCAACCGAAAAAAATATTTTTTGAGACAAAAAACAATAAAAAACAAAAAAAGACAACAAAGAAAAATTTCCACAATAATGAACAAATTAGAAAAAAATTTCCCTTTAAAAATCATAAAAATATACCTTCCAAAAAATTAAGAAAGAATGTGTAGTATTTTTATATTTACAGGGCCCATTTACCAATTACGGGCTCTTTTAAATAGAAACCGAACTATGCCGTACGAGTGTCGTACGAGAATCGAGATCTTGAAAAATTCTCGATAATCTAGATTAGAGAATAATCGACATTCGAGAACGGTGGACAGATGATAATTAGGGCTGGGGCTTTCGAATCGGGCCGAAGTTTGAGTCATTTTATCAGGCTTCTCGGGTCTTTTTCGGACCAGAATTTGATGCCCGACTCGATTTTTCGGACTGGACCCACCAACCATAATAAGAATACAATATTAACAAAAAATATTACTTTCTTAAAAAATTATTTTAATTTTTTTGTTTAAAAAATACCCTTTAAAAAATCAAATTTTCTAAAAAATTTATATTTTTTCATTTAAATATTAGAATTTATTGCTGTTGTTGTAACTAAACCTGGAGGGGAAGAAATAATATTTGTTGTTGTTGTTGGATAATTTGAGAATGATGTTGAAGATTGTTGTTGCTGTTGTAATTGTCCTTGTCCTTCTATCACAACAATACTTCCACTACTTGTTGGACCAAACCGATTATTACGCGAAGAAAGAACGGAAAAAAAATAATTAAAAATTTTTTTGAAAATTTAAAAATTTTTCAAAAATTAAAAAAAAATTTTTCAAAAATTTTTTGAAAAATATTTTTTTAATCTAAAAAAATGTTTCGTGAGATTTTTTCGAAAAATTTTCCAAAAAATTTTAAAAAATTAAAAAAAAAACCTTTTCCCCCTTCAGTAGCTTCATTCCGTTCAAACCCTCTACTAGTAGATTGTATTTGTACAACATTTTCTTCTATATTTGTTGAATTATTTGTTTCATTTTCACATCTTGTTATAATTCCAATTAAAAACATTAATAAAAAGAAAGCAATTCCAAAACCTTTAAGGAAAAAAAAATTCCAAAAAATAATTTAAAAAATTTTAGAAATTTTCAGAAATTTTTTTGAAAATTCTTAAAATTCTTTGAAATTTTCATTAAAAATTAAAAAAAAGTTCCTTGTAAAATTTTCGAAAAATTTGAAAAAAAAAAAAAAAATTTTCGAAAATTTTTCAAAATTACCAAAAAAAAATTTTTTTGAATTTAAAAATTTTTTCCTTTTTTTTGAAAATTTTTTTAATTTGAAAAATTTTTTCTCAAAAATTTCCAAAAATGATTTTTTTGCCCTTACCTAAAACACAAAAGAAAACAATTTTTAACCAATACGGATATTGCACATCTTCTCGATTATTTTTATTGTCAAAATTATTTTTTGGTATCAATTCTGTTGGTGGATAAATAAATGGATTTGTTGCTTCATTTTCGTCATTTAATAAAGAAAAATTATCTTTAAAAAAAAATTTTTGAAACTAAAAAAAAAAAATTTCAAACTTGAAATTTCTGTTGTTGTTGCTATTTTTGTTAAATTGTCCTCCAAAATTTTATTTTCAAAATTTGTTTGTGAAATTGTTGTTGCTTCAATCAAATTTTGATTTTGATCATTTTCAATTAAATTAGGTAGCCATTGAGGGCAATCCTTTCAAAAAAAATTTTTTTTTAAGAAAATAGGACCCTTTAAAAATAACGTTTAAAAAAATAACCTTCAACTCTCCTCTAGAATTCTCCTTAAATTAATAACAAGTGAACTCCCGCTAATACGCCACTCTATTAAAATTAGCATTGAAATACCACTAGTACATCACCCTCGAGGACTTAAAAAGAACCTATACATATAAATAAAAATATGGTGAGATAGGGAGCTCGGGAGTTGTATTAGAAGGATTCTCCACTGTAATATACTTTTATTTCAAAACTCGTCCCCAAAAAATTTAAAAAAAATTCAAACTTTAATTACATCAAAAAATAAAGAATTTCTCCTTCCAGTCTCATTCATTAACATTTTTTGTTGTTGTTGTTGATTCTTTAAATTAATTCTTTCAAATAAATGGCTCATTAAAAACGCATTTCTACCAGCTGCTAATGTTTCGTTTGTTGTTAATGCATCGCTTTGATAAAAAAAAGAAAAAAGGATTTTGGAAATATTACCAGAAAATTTTAAAAAAATTCCAAAAATCTTTGAAATTTCTCGAAAAATTTTTAAAAAATTTCTAGAAAATTTAAAATTTTTTAAAAATTTCTTAAAATTTTACGGACAATTTCAAGATTTCAAAAAGATTCCCAAAAAAAATTTTTTTTTAATTGTAACAATTTTTTCTAAAATAAATTTCAAAAACATTCTTAAAACGTTTAAAAAAATTTAAAAAATTCCTTTTAAAAATTTTCTAAAAAAACAAACTTTAATATTGGCGCTCTCCTTTCAATTGAATTTATAGGAAGTATCGAAGCTTAGAAAAATTTTTTATTTATTTAAAAAAATTTTTTTTTAAAAAACCTGTCAAATATTGAATATAAATTAAACCAATTATTATTATTTTGAATATTATTCTTCCATTTATTATTGACATAATTGAAAAACAACAACAACAACAGGAACAATTATTTTTAGTTTATAACATTTTTCCGAAAAGGAAAAAGAGCCCACAAAAATACTTTTCTATGGCAAAATTTTACTAATAATTTTTGCTTTAAAAATAACAATAGAAAAAAATGACGAAAAATGTGGCCATTTATTTCCAAAAAAGAAAAGGAAAGAAAAAAATTCTTGACAGGGTTGCTCGGATACCTAAGAAAAATAAATGAGAAAAATTCCAGAAATAATCAAAAAAAATTTTTTTTAAGAGCAGGCCCTTAAGGAAAGGATTCCCCCCTTCCCCTCCTCCCATAACTAATCAAAAATTTATTAAAAAAATTTTTTTTACGAGATTAACCTGAAAGAGATAAAATAATTCAACCCACACCGACCTCCTCTTAAAATTAAAAAAAATTTAAGAGGACAACTTGAGGGAGAAAAAAAAACAATTTTAAAACAAACTTACAAACCCGCTTCTTTTTTTTTTAAAAACCATCTTTCTCCCCCCCCCCCTCCAGACCCTCCTCCCTTTCTCATAAAAAAATTTTAAAAATTATACCATTTTTTGTTAAAATTTTATGGCTCTGTAATAAAAATTGTTTTAATTAATTATTTTTTGCTATTTTTTTCACTAAAATATAATATATTGCGCTATCAATATTAATATATTATTGTTTTTTAAATATTATTATTCCAATTATTTTGAACAAAAAAATTTTTTTAATTTCAAAAAAACTCCAAAAAAATTTTCGTAAAAAATTTCTGAAATTTACCAAAAATCTTCAAAATATTTTTAAATTTAAAATAAAACCTCTCGATGGAATAATAATTTTTTAAGATTAAAAAATTAATTTTATGACGATTTATAATCATCATCATCATCACTTGATACATTATTACTATTAATATTACAGCTATTATTATTCACATCATCAACAAATGGTTTTGAAGAAGAAAAGATTGTTGCACAATTTTCTGCCAAAACCTTAAAATTAAAAAAAAAAATTTTTTTTATTTTTCAAAAAATTTTCAAAAAAAAACCTCATCAATAACATCACCAGGATCACGTCTTGTTCTTTGAACTCTCATTGACATATTATGCCCTAAACCTCCTGGGACATTTGGAAATATTGAAGAGATTGAAGAAATTGTTGTGGAGGTTGAAGGAATTGTACTAGTATTTGATGAAAGATTTGTTATAAGACTTGAAGATCTTTCTTCTTTTGGGTGTTGAAAATGTTCTTTTGTACAACCTGGGGAAATTTTTAAAAAATTATAAAAAATACAAAAAAAAATTTTTTGGCAATGATCTGGTTTATGCGTCCAATAAAACTTTAGTCCAATAAAAAATTTTTTGCTGAAGATGTTAAATGGGAAAGACCAACAGTCCACAGAAGTTATAAGTTATTAACTTAATTTGAATAGATTACTCGCAATAAATCCCAACAAATTACGATGTTAAGGTACTCATCAATTTAGAATAATTGAACTCATAAATTAATATTGGATTTATAAAATTTTGTTTGGACACAAAAAAATTTTAGGCGTTGGTAAAATGGAATCGTAGACATTTTATTGGACTTATAAAGCTTCATGGACACAATAAATTAAACCAAAGCCATTTTTTATTTTTAAAAAGTAAAGAAAAAATTTTAATTAAAAACCTGAAGATGATGTTAAATGTAACGATGTTGCTAATAATGATATTGGTGGTGGACAACCAATTGTTGATTGTATAGTTAACGATGCTGATGTGGCTGGTAATGTTGTTGTTAATAAATTATTTGAATCAATTATTGGAATTGGATTACTGCTGGTACTATTATTATTTATTGCTTCAAAAAAAAAAAGAAATTATTTAAATAGTTAGAATTGAGGTATAAAATTTTTCATGAAGGTTTAGAAAATGGGTATCCCATTGTCATGTTAGCAAATACGCGAACACTTTTTTGACCCAAAATTCGTAAGCAAAAATTTAAAATTGTCCCTATTTTATTTATCCGAAGACATCCCTAGTTATGAAGAAATTAAAAGAAAAAATTTTTTGTAATGGTAAAAAGCATTTTTACAAAAAATCACATCAACTTTTAAGAAACATTCTTAAATTAGGAAGCAGTTTCCATAAACCACGAATCATGCCCATGAACCCGAGCTATAAACCACACCCCGTAAAATGCGCCACCACACCCCGTAAAAAGTTTCTCTTTTTCTCAAGAACTTTTGCCAAGTTTTTCACCCCCCCCCCTCCAACAAGAAATATTTAACACAGAAAAGCGACAGGAATTAAATGAATTAAAAAAAAACCTCCAGAATTTGTAGTTGCATTATTTACATTTCCACTAAAACTTCCTCCAACTCCATTATTATTATTAATTTCATTAGGTGATGGAGGAGGTGCACGTCTATCAACAGGATTTAACCATTGACCTAATTGATCATGTTGTAACAATAAATTTGAACTATTATCTTCAATATCATTTTGATTTTGTTGTTGAAATAATAAAGACGCAGAATTTGGACTAAAAAATTAAAAAAAAAATTCCAAAAAAATATGGAATTTCTATCTAAAATCTAAAAACTGAGGCAAAAAAATCTAAAAACTGAGGCAAAAATAAAAATTGACATTTCATCCTCGTAAGGACCCGAATTTATAAGAAAAAATAAAGTAGAAACTCAAGTTAAGGTCAACAGAAATATAATAGAATGATCAGAAGATGTTTAAAAACGGAGGCGGGCCGAAAAAATAAAAATAAGCCAAAACATAAAGTTCAACGAGCTCTGGTCAAAAAATGATAAGATAGCCGGAGCGGAATCAAAAAGGAGAACCGAAGATTTTCTGGGCCAGTCTTCCGATTTAAATCCTGCTATCCAAAGATTTTCTAAAAACCCTAGTTTCGTCATTTTTTGCTGTCAGACCCAATCAAAGATAAAACAGTCAAAAATATCACGGAGAGATTAACATGAAAAAAAAATTTAAAAACTCCTTACACTTTAAAAAGAGGATCTAATGAATCATGCTGCATTCTAATAAAAATATGAACACGAGAATTGTCCTGTCTTTGACTTGTAAAATATCCATCAAGTAAAAAAGACTTTCTAATACCAGTATTTCCACTCCCAGCAAATTCAGAAAGATTAATTATTACATAACCCAATTTTTGTGGATTACGTCCAGCACGGTCTTCCTAAAACAAATTTTTCAAAATTAAATTTTTAAAAATTAAAAAAAAACCTTTCTTAATGAAATTTTGCATCGACAGGCCTAAAATTAAGTACAAATTAAAGAAAACAAAATTTTAAAAAAAACCTCAAGTTCTCCAGAATATTTAGAATCATAAGGGATATAACAATAAAAAGAAAATGGTTGTGTATTTTTTTCAGCATAAGCTAAATTTCCAAGTTCATCGATAAAGTATTCGGGCTAAAAAAAAAGAAATTTATTTGAACAAATTTTTCAAAGTCAAAGCAGTTTTAGGTGAGGACCAAATTTATTATTTTTAAACAAATTTTTCGAAGTCGAAGCAAAAATATCGACACCAAATTTAATGAAAAAATTTTTTGAAAAAAAAACATGAGACAAAAATTTTTTTGAAACTTAGAGTTCAAGTAGTTAAATTTCTTCGATTTACAGCGCCGTGAGTGAAATTTTCTATGACAAGTTTCATAACAAAGAAAAACCCCCTGGCTACGCCCTTGTAATTCTTAAGAGCTATCCAACTTAAATAACCAAAAATCCACCCAAGTCTAAAACTCAAATAAAGGGGCTCAAATGAACAAAAAAGATTAAAGTGTACAAAAAAATTAATAAAAAAACCTGATCAGAATCGCGAATTCTATTCTGTATTAGCTCATCGAATTCATTTTTAATCCCATCTTCTTCCAATAAGTGCTTGTATTTTCGATTGCGCGCTTCAATTTGCTCCAAAATTTTTTGATAGCTTGCCTCATCAATTTGGCTGTTTTCTGTTTGCGCTTTTAAAGCTTCTTCGAAATCGTCCCATTTACGAGGCGCATCGTCTATTTCACGTGGAGAACGTTCAGTTAAAGAATGTCGCCTTTCAATTTGTTGAAATTTTCTATGAGAAGCTGGAGACGAAGAAAATTGTTTATGCTGTTGTTGTTCTTGTAAGGAATTCATGGAAGAGGCAATAGAGGATCCATCAATTATGTCTGTTGTACTATGCCTAAAAAAGGAAGAAATCATGGTAATCCGATTCAGGAGAACTAAATAACCAAAAAAAACTTTGAGGGCTTGATAGGGATGCAAACTTGAAGAAAAGAGAGAAGACAGGGTTTGAAAGATTTTAGCCTAGCTTGGATAAAATTGTCATTTTACAAGTGCCCTTTTACTTCCCAAGTTTTGTCCTATGAATGTACAGAATGGTCAGCCCAAGCCAGCACCAAAATTTTAATAAGTACCTATGAACATTTGCATTTGGATAAATTTGTCCACTGTTTGTCCTACTTCTCATGCGAATATTTGAAGGTGCAGAACTATTAAACCGTCTTGAAACTGAAGGACTCATAAAATCAACTTGGTGGGAACAGACTGGCCTATGCAATGTTGTGCCAACAAAAGAACCACATTCGAGTAGACGAACCTTTGAAAAATTTTTCAAAATGATGGATAAAATGGAGCAAGAAAATCGTGCCAAACATATCGGGACATTTACATATAAAAACTACTACTTTAATGGTTTCACGCCCTAATGTAAGGCCACTGAGTCGTGAATAGTAAAATGTCTTAATAAGGAAGTTCTAGAACCATACACAAAATGTTATTTTTGTCACCACAGCCCACAGGCCCGTAGCCGGGGGAGGGGGGCCCACCGAAAAAATCCTGGCTACGGGCCTGACAGCCCAGATATGTCTGTTCCAGACAAGTCTTCCTACACCAAGAATTAAAGGATAAAAATACCTTTGCAAATATCACAGCATTTAATAACGGAACATCAGTCAATTTTTCCACGACCAATGCAACACTGAATTTAACCTTCTTTTTGCGAAGAAAAGCCATCTACTAAAGTTGATAAAATATAAAGCAATAAATAAAAATTTTTTCAAATGCAATCTAAAAAGGAAAGTTTTATTTTAATGATGAAATGGAAGGAAAAAAAGGCTGATTTGAAATGATTCAGCAAAAATGAAAAGCGCAAACAATGTGGAATAAGGAAAAGGGTGGAAGAAAAAATGAAAAAAAAGCGCATGGTGAAAGAAATATCGGCGGGGCAGTGAAAATTCTTTAAAGAACGCTTTAAACAAACAGTTTAAAAGTTTAAAAAAACGTCAATCGGAGACCTTATCTACACACATAAGGAAAGTAGCACAATCGTTCACTGTTAATAATATTGCAAAAAAAGTGAAAAAAATGCCCCAATACAGAAAAAAAAGTGCTTCCCCTATTCAGCAACGAGAAAATGAGCAAGACTCAAACGCTCCTCTCGAAGAAAATTTCTCTGACATCTCTAACAACGCTATTTTTTAATTGGGATAAAATATCACATAGATAAACAGAATGCCAAAAATTTAAATTTAAAGAAAAAGAGCGGCATAACCCCATAGCAAAGAATAGGTCAACCCTGAATTTTTCACCCGTAAGCGTTTTAACCCCCAAAAGATTTCGTTTTAACCCCCTTTTTGAAAAACTCTCACAGATTTTTGACCACCATATTTTGACCATCCGACAGAGAAGATCAACCTGTTCTAGAAAAAAGGCTAAAATTGAAAAGACGATTTAAAAATGAGTGGACAAAGACAAAGGACAAAGACAAGTGAAAAAATAGACGAACAAAAAAAGTAGAGGACAGCGCTCGCGCATTTAAATTTTTGCCATTTTTTGTTTAAAATTAAAATTTTTCGTACCAGGGCCAGTTGAAGTGTTGACACAGCAAGCCCACCATGTTGAGCACCACAGAGCCGGAGTTGCACACCAGAGCTGGAGTTGCACCACACTTAAAAACCACCCCTCCCACTTTTCCTTTAATTTAAATAAAAACCACACCCAAAAACCATCCATCCAAAAGCATATTGACCATCCATAGCATGTTCTCCAACCACCCAGAAGCATGTTCTCCAACCAACCAAAAGCACATTGTCCACCAACCATCCAGAAGCATGTTCTCCAACCATCAGCAGCAGGTAGACCTAGCTAAAAATACCCACCCTCCTCCCTTATTTTTTGTTAAAAAAACGACCACACCGCCTTCCACCATAAAGCATATTGACCAGTCCATCCATGTTGACGTCCTGAACAAAAAAAATCAGCCATAATTGAAAGACATCAAAAAACCATTGTGTTGAGTCGGCAGACGTCTTAAAAGAAAAATGTGAAAATTTCGAAAAAAAATTAACAAAATCAAAACCTCCAAACATCCATTGAAGTTGAACCACCATCCAGAAGAGCATATTGAAGACCACCATCCAGAAGAGCATGTCGAAGACCACCATCCAGAAGAGCATGTTGAAGGCCACCATCCAGAAGAGCATGTTGAAGGCCACCATCCAGAAGAGCATGTTGAAGACCACCACTTGTTGAAGAGCATGTTGAAGGCCACCATCCAGAAGTGCATGAAGAACACTGAAAAATCAAAATTTTAGAAAAGTATTTAAAAAACACAAAAGTTAAACCACACCACCACCAACATCAGCAGGCCACGATGAGTATGCTGGAATTTGAGGGAATTAACTTTTTTAATCAAAATTAACTTTATTTTTTTAAATTTTACGCCGCGCGCGCATAAAGGGGATAAAAAACACATATAAACACATAAAAACGAAAAAAAATAAAAAAAACCCGTACCGCGGTACGAAATACCCCTAGAGCTCGAAGAAAAAAACAAAAAAATTTGTTTTTCTCTAACCTGCTCGTTTTTGTATTTTAACATTTTCCATTTTCACATTTCGTGTCGAAACCTTTTTATTTTGGCATACTGTATTTATTATTTTTTATTTTAAATAACTATACTATTTCTTTCTTCTTTGACTCTCTGCCCGCTTTACGTTAAATTTTTCCAAGCGGAAACACACGTTTTTATTTTGTTGGAGATTTTTGATGTTTTTAACTGTTTTATTGTTCTTTTTTTTATTTTAGATTGTTTATTCTTTAATTCCTCGACGTTTGACACTTTATTTCCAACCAGAACATGTCTTCAGATTTTGGCAATCCTTTGAAGAAATTCAAGCTGGTATTTCTTGGAGAACAAAGCGGTTTATTTTTTATTTTGGGTTTAGTTGTCCTTAGTTCTCCGATTCGCCCAATTTTTTTTGTAGACATTTTTGTGGGTTTTTAAATGAATATAGGCTGTGTCAATGCATGGATTTTCGCCTTTCCCTAAAATCAGACCAAGGGGTTTTGGTCTGTCTATACAACTGGGATTTTTGTTCATTCAACTATTCCACCCTCAGAGATTATTCAGGACAATCTGGCCAAAAATCTCTCTGTTAGGGGGTTTTCTCTGCTTTCAGGCCTCCCGAATGCGCCCATTTTTTTGATTAATCCCTGCATAAATTACTTTGAAATTAACCTTTCCTTTTCCCAATTGCTTTCCTTTTTTATAAACTTTGCTTTTTTCCAGTTGGCAAGACTTCCCTCATCACCAGATTTATGTACGACAGTTTTGACAACACATATCAGGCGACAATTGGCATCGATTTTCTCAGCAAAACAATGTATCTTGAGGACAGAACTGTGAGCTTTCTTTTTATTTTTTGGATTTAAACAATTCAAGTTTAGGTTCGTTTACAACTTTGGGACACCGCCGGACAGGAACGTTTTCGATCTCTTATTCCTTCCTATATTCGTGATTCTACAGGTTTTTTCTTTCTTTTTCTGAATTTTCTAATAATTTTTTAAATTTAGTTGCTGTTGTTGTCTATGATATTACAAGTTTGTTAGCAATTTTTAAAACTTATTTTTAAAAATCTGGGGAAATCTTGGATAAAATAACATCGGTATTTTTTTAAGTTCTTTGAAAAATCGAGACTAGAAAATGCTGTCTCGGGATTTAGGCAATGGTTTGGACGGTTCAATACATGCGTAAATAGATAATCATGCGAAAACCCTGGTTTATGGTTCCCCTTCTTTAACACGTCGATACAGATTTCAGAGCCATTTTGCAGGTTTCCCCAGAAATAGCCCCTCGATCTTTGATCCGTACCAATATGCGGATCGTCTTTCGCCTTTTTTGTTGTTTCGTCTTTTCTTTCTAAAATCAGTTTCAGCACACTCCTGATCCATACTCAATTTTTCCTTCGTATTCATATTCAGTTTTCCTCGTTTTTTGGGCCTAATTTTATTACCCTACTTGCTTTGTAAAAAATATTTTTTTTAATTTCAGACGCCAACTCTTTCCATCAAACTTCCAAATGGATTGACGATGTTCGCACTGAACGCGGAAGTGATGTTATTATTATGCTTGTTGGAAATAAGACTGATTTGACTGAAAAACGGTTTTTTTCTTTCTCTAAAGTTTAATCGAAAAATATATTTTAGCCAAGTCTCCACGGAGGAGGGGGAACAGAAGGCTAAAGAGCTTAATGTAATGTTTATTGAGACGTCGGCAAAGGCGGGTTATAATGTTAAACATGTTTGTTTTATGTTTTTTAAATAATTTATTTGAGGCTAGGAAATGGGGGTTTTAACTATAATTTTCGATTAATTTTATAAATTCTTTGGAAAAAAATTTTTAATTGGGGGAATTGTAAAGTGAGACATTTTATCCTATTTTTGAATTTGAAGTATTTTTTTGATTAATTGCTAGAATATGGGAGTTACGTGTTAAAGTTTAAGTTTGTTTATTAGGATTGGGTTGAACCCATTTTTCTATTTTTGTCTTCCGGTCCGAAAGATCAAGCCGGGCATCGAATTTTGGCCCGAAAAAGACTTGTCCGGTCTGGCCCGATAAAAATGACTGGAACATCGTCCGGGCCCGAAACCCACAACCTACATATTTATGTTCAATTTAAGATGGGATCCGAAGAAAAAATTTTAAAACTGAGGGAAGGGAATTTGATTTTCAGAAATTTGGTCCCTTTTTTTTAAATTTATGTTTGGGCCTCTGCCCAAACTCATATTGCAAAAAAAAGGTCACTTTGGGGAATAGGAAGTCGAGGGATTTTTGTTCATATTTCCAAATATTTTTAGAAATTAATAAAATTAAATTTCTTTTTTAGCTCTTTCGGCGAATAGCTAGTGCATTGCCCGGAATTGACGTTGAAAAACCTTCAGACGCCAGTATATTTTTTAAAAGAATTTTTCAAAAAATTTTAATTTTTTCAGAACAAGTTGTTGACATTGGACCGATTAAACCACGCCAAATTGTTACGGAAGAAGGATCTTGTTGGTGTTGAGAGACAACTTAATAATTTAATTGACCTGTATAATTAAAAAAGGGCAGCAACAAAAAAAGGTTAAAAAAATTTTTTAGAAAAAAATTCCAACTTTTATCTTTTTTTAATACTCGAAAAAATTGTTTTTTCTATTTTAATTTAAAAATTATATTTTAAAAAATATACCTAAAAATTAAAAAAATAATCTCCAGAAAAGAAATAGGGAGACGTCCAAATAGGCGCGCGGCCATAACGGCGCAAACCCATAACTTTCTGATTATTAATTTTGGTCCAATCTCTTTAACTCGATGAGAGCTAAAGAGACATACTTGGGAGTATCAAGGAAATAATAAAGTTTGGGGGATAATGGGAATTTTTGAATTTTTTGAAAATTTTTCTGGGAATTTTTCTGAAAATAAAATTTTTTTGTCTATTCAATTTTTTTGGCCATCAAAAAATTTTCTGAAAAAACTGTCTCTCTCATATCTACATTATTTTTGTTATTACTATATTTTATCAAAAAATGAAAATCTTACTTCTGTTATTAATTTAAGTGTTCTAAAATATTTGTTTTTATTGTGCAAAAATTACAGGGAATATATGAAGGAAATAAAAAATTTTTTTGTTTTTTTGGAATTTTTTTCCTGAAATTCTTTGAAAATTTTTAAAATTCTGTGAGAATATCAAGACATCCCTACATATATTTCCTCCTGTATGACTCTACTGATTAAAAAAGTCAGACCTTTCTAGTATATTTTATCAAAAAAAGGATTATTTTTGTACACAAGGGATCAAATTGATCCGGAAGGTCCGACTTTTATGTAAATCCATTTTGTGTGTTTTAAAAAATTTGTTTATTTTTTGTTAAATAGACAATTAAATATATGTTTTTTATTTAAATAAAATTAAAGAAAAAAATTTTTTTGATATTTTTTGGAAAAATGAAGAGGCTAAAAATTTTGGAGAAAAATTTGAAGAATTTTTTCTCCAAAAATTTTTTGGAAAAATTTTAAGAAAAAATTTTGAAAAAATCAAAATTTTTGTTGAAAAATTTTTCCTCAAGAATTTGGTGGGGAAAAATTGTAAAGAAAAATTTTTTGAAGAAATTTTTTCAAAGAGAATTACTATTAGGGGATGTAGTAGATTTAACACCACACCGCCTTATTAAAATTAGAGAAGACAAAATAATTAATAAGATAATTGGGACGATAATTAAAAGTGCTTGATTATTTAGAATTTGTAAGAAACTATTTTTATTAGCATCTTTACCCCCTCTTTCTGTTCTACTCGAACTTGGAAAGTTTTTATCTGTTAAGGGCAGTCGGTGTTGGTTGTAGTTCTCTAACTGAAAATTATGAGGTAATAAGAAGTAAAGGTGTTCAAAAAAGTCACCCCCCCCCCCCATAGTTTACAAAGGATCAAAATGGTCAAAAACTTTTCGAAATGCTTGTATTTTTCAGAAGGGCTTTAGTTTCTCTGTTGTCACTTATTTTTATTTTCTGTTGTTATTTTCCGGAAAATTTAAAAAATCTGTACTTTCAATATCTTTCCAGTCCCTAATTCTTCCTGTAAAGCTCATCTAACCTTTCCGGAAGCTTTTTTCGGAAAACCTATTCAAAAAACTTTTAATTTCCTAACCCTAGCATTCGGGTCACAGATCCAACGTTGCATCATTTCCAATTCTTCCATCACTGTCATTGCACAAGGTCTAGGGCATGCTACTGCACATTGCTCCAGCGTCTCAAATGTGTGGACAAATGTTTGTAGGCGTTCATTTATTGGCTTAAAATTAGAAAAAATTAGAAAATTTTGGAACACTCGGGCCTCACTATAAGACATTCCCTTGGGGCTTGAAAAATAGTATCTTAAAATGGGGTGTCTTAAATAGAGTGTATAGCTTATATAGAGGTGTTTACTAAATAGAGGGGTGTCTTAAATAGAGGGTATCGTATAGAAAGATCCCCACCCAGTGGCTGGCTAACCAGTGTATCATAAAGGTGTGCCTAATCCTGAGGGTATCTTATAGTCCGACCACCCAACTAAAACTAACAAATTGAGCTGCTGATCCAGAAGAATATGGCGATAAATTTGTATTTTTCCCCAAAGCTTTATGCCTCTTAATGGTTGTCCCCCCAAAATTCTCTTCATATGCAGAAACTGAAGAGCCAACACCTCCAGCATTCCCCCCATTATTTAAGCTTTCTTCAAACAAAACAGCAGCGTTGGAAATTAGAAAAAAGAAAAATTGGAATAAATTAAATGATTGAAGGAAATTGATGAAAATGAAGTTTTGCTGCATTTGTTGGGAGAATTCGGAGGAAAAATTTTTTTTTCTTACATCTAGCTTTGAAAGAATAAAAATGATAGTACATAAATCTCGTCACGTAGAAGGTTCAAATGTGAACTCGTTTCCAATGATTCTGAGAAGGGTGAGACCGTTTGATTTTTTCTAACTTTTCTGGAAAGTGGGGCCTTTTGGTTTGAGTTAGTTGGATCACACTTATGCTTCTTACTTCATTGGGATAGAAAAGTATATTATAGAGGAGGTGAGGACAGTTCAAAAGGAGGCTGGCTTAGGTTAGCTTCGGCCACAGGGTATTGGTTAAGGGGCTAAGACCCTCCTTCATTTTTGTCTCAAGTAAACAATAACAAATTGAATAATTTTCAAAAAAATCCCTTTTTGATGAAATGGGGCATATAAAAGAGTGTTTTTGAAGGAAGGAATAAATAAATGAAAAGCGCTTTAAAAAAGATGAGCACAGGAAAAGGAATTAGCCATTAGATGGAGGAGGAAAATGACTATCTGCCTTTAACCCTCGTCTTTATATTATCCTCCTCTCTTTCTATTTTTCGTTTATCCCTTGGAGAAAAGGACAAATGAAACCCTAAAAATGAAGAGGAAATGTATTAAGCGCCTTGTTTAACATAAATCGGGGGGTATTGTAGAGTTTAGCGGGAAGGATTTCAGAATAAAAAAAATTTTGGAGAGGATGGAGTGAGGGAGATCGTTAGCTTGTTGAGTAAAGGTAAATACAGTCATACCCCTTATTATAGGATACACACAAAAATTGGTTCGCCTTTGGGTGGGAGAGTTGTATGAGCGAGATACCCCCCCCCCCATTTAATATACCCTCCATTATAAGAAACAAATTTTTAGCTCCAAAAGGGTATATTAGAACTAGGTTCTGGACGAGGATGTTGCCTAATCTCCCCACCTCCAATTTAAGTACCTCTCATTATAAGAAACAATATCATCAACCTCAAAGGGGTATCCTATAGCAAGGTTCAACTCTGTCATTCACCGGCGTAAAAAATCAAAAAACAAACTGATCCTCGCCTAAAGGATTCAATATCCTCCCCCAACATCCCAACTTTAAACTAATACCTCTTTCACTCACTTTCCCCCTTTTTCAAAATCAATAGCCCCCCTATATCCGAGCAACTCTATTAAATAAACTGTGCTGCGGGTGTATTCACTCAATTTTATTTTTTCTTTAAAGCCCTCTTTATTTCTTTTTCTAGTCAGCTTTATGACCAAAAAGGACACAATAACACGCCGTTTGAAAAAAATATAAGGGGAGAGGGGGGGGGGAGTTACTGGAAGAATTCCATTAGTATACTCGAGGGAAAAGAGAAAAGTCATTATATACAAAAGCATTTTTGTGTGTGAAATTTTTATTTTTAAAAATATTATTTTAATAAATAATCCGTTTTTCTCCGCCTAAGTTTATGCCTCTTTCCCTAAATAAAAGTATTACAAGTTGGATAATGGAAAAAATGGGGGGAAGGAAATGAATAAATTTGCACTAATTTTATTTTGGATTTTTATGGAAGAGAGAAGAAATTAAAAAAGGAAATTATGAAAAGGTGGATGAACGCTTCTTAAATGTGTTATGAAGAGATTTTTAGAAGTCAAAAAAAATTGGAAAAATTCTTTTTAAAAATTCTTATCAAGAAAAATAGAAGTTAGAGGATAGGAGACCTACCGGATTAACTTAAAAATAAAAACAAATTTTTGTCATTTTCAGAAAAAATTCTAAAAACCCCAAAAATACTTCTTCAAAATGTTAGCTAGCCAAAACTAATTTTTAGTGACTTTACAAAATAGTTCAAAAAATCCCTAGAAAAACCAGAAAATTGGAGAGACCCAAAAAGGAATTTTTTTTAGTAAAAAATAATTTTTAAAAAATATTCCAAAAAAATAATTTTAACTATAAGGAAACAATAACTGCAAAAAACATACATTTTTTGTCATTGTCAAATAAATAATATATATTTTTTTAAAAACAATTGTTGTCACGCTTCATATCACATTTAAGAAGGAAATAAAGGAAAGCAAAAATTAGTGATATTTTTTTATTTTGAAGAGAAAAATAGGAGAAAAAAATAAAATGGGGAGAAAAATAAAAAAAGGAGGGAATTGCCACAGAAAAAACAAAAAAAATTTTTTTTAATCTAAAAAATCAGAATTTTTAAAAATCAAAATCCTCATGTTCAGTGTTCTCCCGGCCGTCCAGAACATAACGCCAAGAATCGTTAATCCTTTGGAAAATTTCAGAACTTTCCAAAAGCGAAACTAAGGAAACTATGGAATTTTTAAGGAACCGAGAGAACATTTTTAGGACGACGTTTTAAAAATCCCAGAAAAAAATTTTTTTTAGATTAAATTCATTTCAAAATAAAATAAACGTTTTTCTTGAAAATCATTATGATTATCAATTTTAGGAAAATTACTGCGATTTTTTACCCATAAAATTATTTTTTTAATATACCAACCAGATTTTTGTTGTAAATTTAATATTAATTTGTCCTCTATAATTAATGGAAAATCTTCTTTTTCTTCAATTTGTCCTTCTCCATTCGAATTTTGGTTGTTGGAATGACTAAATTAAATTTAAAAAAATTTTTTAATTTTAAAAATTTTTTTTCAGTTTCTCAGAACTCGGTAAAGTATTTTAGTCGTCAAAATTATTTCAGAGTGAGCTGAGTTAATCATCACCGAAACTGACGTGAAAAATCAGAGAAAATTAGAAGAATAAATAAATAAACTTAAAAGGAATAGAACTTTGCTAGGCTGAAAAGTTCGGAGCCTAAAACACTACCAACTTAACCAAGCTTTAACTTACAGGGGGAATCGAAACCTAGGCTTAAATGAAGGAGGAAAATAAATGGACAGAATATTCGAAAACTTTTCTGAAAATTTTAAGAAAAATTTAAATAAACCTAGAAAATTTTAACATTTTTTCTTGAACTCCTTCTGTTTGCTCAACGAATTTCTCTTTAGGTTTAGCCAATAAATGTTCAACTTTTAAGCTGTTTGAGACTTCTATAACAAATTCAACGGGAAATGATGATTTATAACTAAAAAAATAATTATTTTTATTTTTTAAAAAATAAACCTCATCTCCACATATCGATCAGTTTGTTCAATTAAAATATTGCACAGGAAAAGGCTTAAAAAATAAAATGTAAAATATTATTAAAAAAAATTTTTTTACGATTTTCAGACGAAGGATGCCCCAACCCCAATAATATCAGTGAGAATTTTATGGAATATAATTCAAATTCTGAGTCAATTAAATCCATGGGAAGAACCTTTGAATTTTAGAAAAAATAAAAAATTTTCAGTCAAAACGGTCAAGTTTCAAAATGGCAAAAAATTAAAATTTTAAATAAAAAACCTTCAAAAAATTTACCTAAACATTCCAACATTGTTAATTAAAATTCCAGGCTTTAAATCCTTTGAAAATGCTGTAGAACTCAGATAAAAAGGTTGAATGTTGAGATTCTTCATACAAAAATCATTTGTTTCTTCAGAACAAAAATCAAGACATTCTGAAGAAAATCCAACAGAAAAATTTGTACAAAATTGTTTTGAGACCATTTTGTGAGGAAATAAATAAGGCTAAAAAGAAAAAGGAATTTTTTGGATTTAAATAGGTATATAAGCTATAAATGATTTTCTAGTGGGCACAATCAGAACAGAGGATAGATACTTGGGACAAAATTGAAACCCGTTGGAATTTAAAATCAATGGGACTCGAGGCCGGAATGAGAAAATCGTACGAAATACAGGAAAAAGTATCTTGAAAAATAACATTCAGATGAAAATTTGTTTAGGATTTAGTCACGGTCGATCTCTACTGATAAATAACTCTATATCTAGGCGTCCAAAATTTTAGTGGGCATCCTTAAATATCAGTACACCCATTTTGTAACATTATCTAGTCCAAAAAATCAATTAAAAAATAAAATTAGAAACCTTCAACAAATTCCAAAACCTTTCAGAATTATCAAAAAGACTAATTTTCTGATCTCTTTTAGGGCAAGTCTCGCAAATCCAACCCGGCGCAAATATTGCTGCAGAAAAGTTGTAACGACGAATAATTTCCAAAGGTTTAAAACATTCCCAACCTCCTAAAAAATTATTAAAAATTTTTTAGAAATTAAAAAAAACCTGTACAATCCCGTCCAAAAACATCAATTCCAATATAAATATCAAAAAGAGTTTTGTCCTCAGAAAAGTTTTTGTAAAAAGTTTCCAGAGTTCTTTCAAGATGACATTCTGTCCAGCCATAATTCGTGTAAAAACCATCAACAGCTGAGAACCAACGCCTTAGAGTGTTTTTTGTTTATTTTAGCAAGAGTTTTAGTCTTAAAATTTATAGTCAACGGGCAGGAAATGGCAAAAATGTGTGTTTTACATCGCAAATTTTTGATTATAGTTCCCAATGTTCAGTTGTGAGTTAATTGCCTATAAGTTATATGTAGCCAGGCTCTCCCCTCACTACGTTCAGGTGCTAAATTGATTGAGGTTTCAGAGGTCTCAAGTCTTAAATCCATACAAGAACGTTTTAAATTCCCTAGCCTGGTGGGATTTCCCTTGTTAAATTTTGGATGTTGTTTGTTAGATTGAATAAAAGGGAAGGAAAATAAGAAACCAAGGACCAACTAGCAGTTATTAAATGTCATTAATTTTCCTTTTAAAGATTTACTACGAACATGTTGTCCTTGTTGAGCTCATTCTGCCAACACAATTCACCAGAATTTACAACAGAGTCATACCAAATAACTTGAAAACAAAAAATTATTTAAAATCTTCCAAAAAACCTTGAGTGCAATTATGAACATTATCTCGCAAATCTCGTCTCAATTTTCTCAGAAAACATTCTAATCGGTCCAAATAAACAGAATCAACGCGATTTTCAATATTAATAAGCCAGCCATCTTAAAATGAAAATTTTTTTTAAATCTTTTGAAAAACCAAAGTTCATATTTTTGCATAAACCAACAAGGAAAGAAACAATTTTATCGGTAATTAAATCATCAGAAAAACATTGATTGAAAAGCACGACTGACTCGATAATAAATGTTCCTGAAAAATAGAATCACTTTTAGAATGAAGGGAGAGGTAAATTTAAGACTTAAAAAGCGCCAGTAGGTAATATGGTCAGCCAATACTCTTTGTAGTCAAAATGGGATGTTATGAACTAGAATTCTTGGGTATGATTCGGAGAGAGCAGCTACATTATCCCTCAAAGTTTAGGTTTTCTCAAGGTCAGTTGGCAGGCGAGCTGACTATAAGTTAGGGAGAACACCTTAGCCAACTACGTTTGGTGTTCCAGTACCCAAAGGAGAGTAGGTTTTCTCATGGTCAATCGGTAGGAGAGCTGACTATAAGTTAAGGAGAACAGATTAACCCCTAAGTTCAGCGTTCCAGTACCCCGTTAGAAGGAGAGCACCTGAACATGGTGAACGAGGCCCTCAGTATTACTGGCAGAAGGGCACAAGTTCGACCCATACCCGAGGCTAATCTCTTTCTTGACTCTTAATAAAACTTAAAAATAAATCTATAAATAAACCTAAAATCAAAACCCCATGTTGATGTGCAGCCAAAATCCAAACATCCGGCGGCACAGTAACAAAATGATGTGAGAAATAAACAAAAATGTCAATATACCACCAATGAAAAAATGAATAAATTGGAATTTGGCGTTCCTTGTCTTTGTTTGGTAGAGACGAGCATGTGATACCTTGAAGACTAGAATTGAAAAAAATTTGGAAGGAAAAAGCAAAGTTTAGAGACCGCCTTCTAGTTTTTTAAATAATTTCCATTGTTTTACGCATGGAAACTGTATCAAACAGAAATGGGAGTAAATGAGAGTAAATGCCACACAATGCTCCCAAATTTATAGGGTTATTATCGCCGGAAAGGCATCGATCCTGTGGCCTCCTGTCAGCTATTATTATGCGCTTTCGATAATGTGATACAGGTACTCTACCAATTAACAATAGGGTACCCAGGACTGTCTTAGACACGCCTAAAAGCTCAAAAAGCTGCCTTATTGCTTACAGGGAAGAAATGAAAATGGAGGACTCCACCCCAGAATATCGACACCCAAAATATCGCCCAAAATGTGTGTCGATATTCTGGGGTGATCACAAAAAGGGCCCTTAAAATAAGAAAAAAACCTTTCATACTCCAAATAACCTCCACGATGATCATGGCAAACTAGAGTTCGTGGGCGTTTTGCTGCTTTATTCCAGTTGAAATTTGTCAATTTGTAAGTTGATTGATGACGATTTGAAGCAATATTCCCCACTCCATTCCATAGAAAAAGATTTTCAGGTGTGTCGAAATTGAAAATACCATCATTTTCAGACTTGCAAATTACATCCATTCTAATTGTAAATTACCTAAATTCTTTTTCACGAGATAAAAATTTTAATAAAAAGTACCATTTAGGTAAAATACTGGTAGACTCAACTGGCAGCCCCAAAAACAGCACTTTTGAGTCTCAAAAGTTGCTAATTTTTTTTGATTTTTTGGAGTGTGGGGATGGAATCGGAACGGGAATTTTCGGGTTTTCGGTTCCCTTTTTTCTTTTCGAGTCCCGTAACGGGATTTTTTTTATTTTTACGGGACAGGATCCCGTGGGATTAATCGCGTAAACCCCGTAATCCCGTAAATCCCGTTCGTTGCTTAAATACGGGATTTCGGGACAGGATCCCGTAAAATCCCGTTCGGGATCCTCTCCCGTACTCTAATTGCAAACTTTTTCAAGTTGCCAGTTGTGTCCACCAGTATTTTACCCAAATGGTACTTTTTATTAGTTTCTTTCTCGGGCTGATCAATTTTTATTTTTTGTTTTCCGGTCCAGGCTCTGTCCTTTTGTATTTCTTGCTACTAATTTTATTTTTTTAGGGTTATCTGACTCGATCTAAAATTTATTTTCCTTTCATTCTCTTGACAGAATGTCAATTATTTTTCATCGACGGCTACTTCAAAATAAATTGATTTGCGCCTTAACGAGACGTTCAATGAGCTTTGATTTGTCTGATCAGTAAATTTTTTTAATTTAAAATCTTTAAAATTTTCTTGGTTTTTAGGCAACGAGAAATACAGCAAAATGCGTTGAAATTTGCTAAAGAAGTTGTTCTACCAAAAGCAGCGGAACATGATAAAACAATGGAATTTCCTTGGGAGATTATTAAACAAGCACATTCTCTTGGTCTAATGAATACAATGATTCCAGAGAAATACGGTTTTTGTTTTTATTAGACAAGTTAGCGTTAAATCGGGGTAAATGTAGGTAACGGTAGCTAGTAGACATGGAGATTTTTGAAAAGCCTGGACCTATTTTTGGACTCTGGTTTGATTTATTGACCTGCGCCGGATCCTGGGCTTGTAGTCCAGGAAAAATCCACTCAGGAAAACCCAGGAAAGGCCAAAAAATGCCTGGGCCTAAGCTCTGGGTAACAAAAAAACCCAGGTACAGAAAAACCCCAGGCCTTGGTCCAGACACAGCTCGATAACTAGAAGCTAGCAGGCCTCGTCTTCCTGTTTTTTAAACTACTACCCATCAACTACTACATAAAATTTTTTAGGTGGCCCTGGTTGTGGAAATTTGGAAACAGCATTGATTATAGAAGCATTAGCTTATGGGTGTTCTGCAATTCAATTGGCAATAATGGGTCCATCATTGGCATTAGCTCCTCTTTTGTTGGCTGGGACTGAGGAACAAAAGAAAAAATATGCTGGAATGTTGGCCGAAGAACCTTTGATTGCGGTTAGTTTTTGAAGGAGATTTTTAAGTGGTTTTGAATAAAAGATGACTGAAAATCGTCAATCCGTCTTAATTTTCTGGCTTTTAATGTATAACTTCTTCCATTTAGAGATTATTTTTAGACTGGCAAAAATTTTTTTGTTTATTGTCGTTTATGGGACACAAACCCGGACCTCTCTTAACGTAAGCAAATAATATAAAGACATTAGAGGCCGGCCCAAAACATAATCTCGAACAAACAACCCAGTTATCGAGATTATTCATGATATCTCGTATGATTCTGTACGACCCTCCCAGTTCGGCCTTAACTCTGCAAATTAACCCACAATAACTGAAAAAATTTTACCACTGGAAGTTTATCAAAAATTTTAATTTTCAGTCTTATTGCGTCACAGAACCCGGTGCCGGTTCAGACGTTAGCGGTGTTAAAACAACTTGTATTTTGAAAGGTTTGAATTTTTTACAATTTTTATTTCAAATTTTTTAAGGTGACAATTGGGTAATTAATGGTTCAAAGGCCTGGATTACCGGTGGAGGGTATGCAAAATGGTTTTTTGTTTTGGCTCGAAGTGATCCTGATCCAAAGGTTTTTTTCTGGCATTTTTTTAGTTTCCTCAAATTTTTGTCTTTAAGGCGCCAGCAGGAAAGGCTTTTACGGCATTTATTGTTGATGGGGATTCCAAAGGAATTTCTCGTGGAAAGAAGGAATTGAATGTTGGCCAGCGTTGTTCTGACACTAGAACTATAACTTTTGAAGATGTTCAAGTTCCAAAAGAAAATGTTTTGGGGGCGCCAGGTGGTGGATTTAAAGTGGCAATGGGAGCTTTTGATAGTATTTTTATTAACTTTTTTAAAATTATTTAATGTTAAAAATTTAAGCAACGCGTCCTGGTGTTGCTGCAGGAGCTGTTGGTTTAGCTTGGCGTGCATTGGATGAAGCATCCAAATATGCGTTGGAAAGAAAAACGTTTTCTGTACCAATTTCTAATGTAAGCGCATTTGTTAAAAAAATACCGGTCAATCGACGAAATACCAAACCTCGTAAACAACGTTGGAATACCAAAATTGTGGGGGCAGACCAGTGTACCGCGAGCCCAATGTACCGCCAGCTATAACTTTCTTCAAAATTGTCGAATCCGTGGCGCCCTGGTATGCTCCGGTTCAGCATGTCGAGCCGCATCGAACCATACCAGGGCGCCACGGATTAGACCATTTGGAACAAAGTTATAGATCGGCGGTACATTAGGCTCGCGGTACATCGGGTGTACCCCTAAATTGTGTCAGAGGAAAAAATGACTAGACGTTTGGTATTACGACAGCATCTCAAAATGTATCCTAAAACTTTTCTTTTTAAAGCACCAAGGCGTTAGTTTTATGCTTGCTGATATGGCAATTAATTTGGAAATGGCTAGACTTGTTACTTATCGAGTAAAAAAATTTTTTTCTTAAAAATAACAATTTTTGTTAGAGCGCCTTAGACGTTGACAACGGTGTCCGTTCATCATATTATGCTTCAATAGCCAAATGTTTTGCTGCTGATACAGCTATGCAAGGAGCAATAAATGCTGTACAGGTTTTTTTGTTTTTAGAAGGAAAAATTTTTTTCTTTTTTAAAAAAGATATTTGGAGGGAATGGCTACAATACAGAATATCCTGTAGAAAAATTAATGAGAGATGCAAAAATATATCAAATATATGAAGGAACGTCACAAATACAGAGACTTGTAGTTTCTCGTGAATTGCTTCAACGTGTTGCTCAAACAGGAAGTGCTTCAATTTGAGAAAATGTGAAGGAAGCGAAGTTGTTTTTTTTGTGTTTGTAGAGGATAAAGGGGATGTGACGGGTTGTTAGAAAAAATTTGGGCTTAAGGTTAGGTGTCCGGTTGGGATTTTCAAAATATTTTTGTGAAACAGGTTTCGAGTTGGGAAATGTCTGTATTTCCGGTAACCCGTCTTATCCCTGATGTACTATAACAAGAGGGTGTGCCAAATTTTTGATTTTATACATTGAAAAATAAAAATTAGTTTGAAGGACGAAAAGCGAAAAATAGAAAATACAAAAAGCGAAACACGAAAATAGCGAAACTCGAAAACGGAGCATCACAAAAGTGAAACTCCACAAAATCGAAAAACCAAAAAGGGGAAATATGATAAGCGATTAGGGTTGTCGTTTTCGAACCGGGCCGTTGAGTCATTTTTTCGGGCCTCTTTTTTAGGGCCGGACCGTTCGAGTCGTTTTCGGGCCAAAATTCTATACAACCCTATATGCGATACAAAATAATCGAAAGCCGAAAAAGCGAAACACCAAAAAATATACCGACATACGAAAGGCGAAATACCCAAAAAAAGTGAAAAACAAAAGTGGCACACCCCTGACTATAAATAAAAATAAATATCGAAATTTTTTAATGTAGTTTAAACTAATTTGCCAATATATATGTCCTATACTATTTTTATAAATTTCTTCATAAATATTTGATAAATTATTGGAAAAAAATTTTCTTTAAGCAAGTGAAATTGGCTTGATATTTTTTAATACTTTGTTTTAGCGTTTTTTATTTAAAAAAATTTTTTTTAAATATGACAACTTTAATTGAGCGCTACAAAGAATTTTTTTGTGGGGCAAGTGCTGGATGTATTGAGACTTTTATTTTGTTCCCCAAAACAAAAATTATATTTCGACAACAATTGCACAATATATCCCTTGTTGATGCTGCTAAACAAGTTTTTTTTTAATTTTAAAATTTTTCTAAAGATTTTTTTCTTTAAAGTTAAAACGTGAAGGAGCCAGAAACTTGTAACTTCTCTCTTATTTTTTTGATGTCTAACAAAATTTTTTTGATTTTTTTATGTTCCGTGGCCTTCTACCTCCGTTGATTCAAAGGACTGCGAATCGTTCAATAATGTTAGGTTTTTGATTTTTTATTGAAATTTGGTAAGGCCTTTGATGGATATCGAGGACATTCTCTTAAATTAGGTTTTGGATCATTTTTGACTCTGACTTGTGTTCCTATTTTCAGCCATACGTGGATATAATGTCTTAAGTAAAACAGCGGCATATTTCCAAATTATCCCTTTTCGAGTATAACTTCACCCCATAGCAAATGTTCGATGATATTAGTTGTCGAGCCATAACCTCGTTCAATTTCATTGAAATTAGTGGAGGTTGACAAGGTCATGATTCAGCGCTAAAATGGGTTCGTGGTTCATTCTTCCTGTTATTTCTTTATAAGGGTTGTTCATGACCGGTTAATCTTTGCCTGTATCAACTCAATATTCTTATTCTTCTCTATTTGACCGGCCACAGGCAATGATTAACCGGTCGTGAACCTATATTTCTTAAATGATTTGTTGAAAGCTTTTTGATTGAAAAATTTTCCTCTTTAAAGGTTTGGAACAAACGAAAAGTATCAACGATTATTTGGCTGCTCTGAAAGAGATCCAAGCGTATGTCGCGCATTTTGCTCTTTTTTAGGTTTATTTTCTTTAAATTTTTGCTTTTAAAAAATTTTTTTTAATTTAAAAAGCTGGCGCAACCGAAGCATGTTTATGTCCATTAGAAAGAGTGCAATCCCTTTTACAGACAACCAAACATTTGGACAAATTTAAAAATACTGGACATACATTTCGTTTAATTTATAGAGATTATTCAATTAAAGAGTTTTGTTTTTTTTATTTTTTAATTAAAAATTAATTTTTTAAAATTTAGATTTTATCGAGGATATTCATTAATGGCTATTAGAAACGGGTTAATTTTTTTTTAATTTTAATGTTTGGTTTGAGTATGTCTGTTCACACTTTTTTCTCTCACGGGTCATATATTCGAGACCCGACTCCCTTAAAGCCAGAATTTTTTTTAACACAGAACCTGATCCGAACTAAATTTTGGAAACCTCAACCAGACTTTCTCAATCCGTGACATCCCTGTTATATCCCCTTAAATTTTTTGTTTAAAAATCCGAATTAAATTTGAAGAGATTTTTGGATAAGCACAAAAGAAACAACTCTCTCCTTTGTAGTTATAATCTTTCGGAATTTTGGTTAGACAAAAAGCGAAATAGTACACAAAATTGCTGGTGTGTATAGAGAGACAATTCCGGAACAGAGAATTTTTACTATTTTTCTTTTAGGTGCAGTAATATTTTATTTTTCTCACTACGCGAACCTTTACGTTCTTCTCTATTAAAATTAACTCCACAACAAGTTGATAGCAATAACAATACTCGTAAAGGATTAATTCATTCACTAGCAGACTTTGTTTGTGGAGGTTTTCTTGGTGGATGTATTTCAACTCTATTTTATCCAATTAATGTTGTGAAGAATAGAATGCAGGTTTTTTTTTAATTTTTATAAGATATGGGGGGGATAGGTTTATAAAAAAATTTCCCAAGGAGGATCTGTAGTGAATTTTTGATTTTTCCAAGGGTATATTTAAATTCTCTGAAATTGTTTGGGTTTGGTCCGTTCGGATTTTTTGATTCCGTTCGGTCCGTCCGTTCCCAGTTTCTAGGAGACTTCCCATTTCATCTGGTTATAGCTCGTATGATTCGGGTTCTTCCTTCACTCATCTCTTTTCCGAATTTACCCTTTCTTCTTACTCTTTTAATTTCTTACTTCTTTCAGTTCTTCCTCCTTTCTTCTTTCTCCTCCTAATTTCTTCTTTCTTTCGGTTCTTCCTCCTTTCTTCTTTTTCTTTCCTTTCTCCTTTCTTTCTCTTCTCTCCATCCTTCTTTTTTCTTTCTTCCAAATTTCTTCATTTTTTCGGTTCCTCCTTTCTTCTTTTTCCTTCCATCTTCCTCCTTTCTTTCTCTTCTCTACATCCTTTCTTCTTCATCCTCCATTTTTCCTTTTCCCTTTAACATCCTCCCCCGGAAATTATTCTCCCAATTAATTCTAAAATTCCTTACGTATTTTCCCCAAATTTTTTCAGTCAAGTGTTTGTGCAGAATTTATTTCTTCCTGGCTTGTTCTAAAAACAATAATGACTGAAAGAGATGGATCAATACGTGCTTTGTATCGTGGTGCACAATTAAATTTTTCAAGATCAGTTTTAACATGGGGTATAACAAATTCAGTTTATGGATTTTTAATTAGAGAATTTTTCTGAAGACGAAGAAAATTGACAAGAATGATTTAAGAAAAAAATTTCTATTACTATTTTATATGTTTATTTTTTATTTATGAGTCAAACCTTTTTTTATGACGAAAAATAGGGTTGGAAAAATTCTAAAAAAAATTTTTTATAAAAAAAAAGTCATAGTTTGACCTTGTAAAACTTCATTTTGAAGTAGATAATTCGCGGCGAGAAAATTAGGCAAATTGTCGTATTTTTAGTTACTGACCCAAATGAATTTTAGACGTTCTAATATTGGTAAAACGTAGTACAGTACTTGTAATATTTCATTTTGTATTTTTTCGTTTTCTTTTTTTCGTAAATTGCCATTAATTTGTCTTTACTTCTTTTTTTCCTTTTTTTCACAATCTCAAACAAGTTTATGGCCTATTTTTAATACATTTTTTAAAATTATTTTTTCAGATAATTTAAGTTTCAGCTCTTTTATTTGTTTAAAATGAAATTCAATCCGTTTGTTTCTTCTTCTCGTCGAAAGTCTCGTAAGCGTCATTTTAATGCTCCGTCACACATTCGACGTCAAATAATGTCTGCACCGCTGTCTAAGGATTTGCGTAATAAACATAATGTTCGCTCAATGCCAATAAGGTTTTTTTTATTTTTTTGTTATTTTGTGCCTTTGACTAGAACAGATACCCTATTGGACTAGTCCTTAGGTTTAGTGTGATAGTTTCGCATAAGTGAGTGGATGTTAAGTATCGAGCTGGATCTTGACAAAAGCCTGGGGTTTTTCTTTATCCAGAGTTTAGGCCTAGGCATTTTTTGACTTTCCTGTTTTTTCCTGGTCCTGGTGTTTTCCTGGCTACATGCCCAGGTCGGTGGGGTACCTTTCCGTGCCGCGAGTTCCGTGCCGCGGTTTCCGTGCCGCGGATTCCGTGACTTCCCAGTTCCGTGACCTCCCAGTTCCGTGACCTCCCAGTTCCGTGACCGTTGTAAAAGGGACGTTTCCGTACTAATTATTTAAATAAGAAACAAGGGTTTCTCGTAAATTATTGGGTGAAGTCACGGAACTGGGAGGTCACGGAACTGGGAAGTCACGGAATCCGCGGCACGGAAACCGCGGCACGGAACCCTCCCAGTCCGTGCCCAGGTCCGGCCCATGTCAATAAGTCAAACCTAGGAGAAGGCCCAGAGTTTTCAAAAATCTATATCACTAGTGGATGCGCAAAGTTGTGTTTTTATTTCGAATCCCGTCCACCAATATTTGGTTTAAAGTGTACATAATGGTCGGAATCTTTCTCTGGCAGATAAGTTCACAGCTTCGCATTGAAGAACCTATGCCTGACAAAAGTACCCAAACCCGTTCTCTTATTCTTATTCAAAAAATTCTGAACTTGTTTCCTTTGTCCGTTATTAACAAGCCCTTTCTTTTTCCTTGTGGGGTTTACTTGCATTTGACGAATCACATTTTTTACTTTCACTTTTTTTAGAATTGAAGACGAAGTGACTGTGTTGCGTGGACATTTTAAGGGAAACAGTGGACGTGTTATGCGTGTCTACAGGTTTTTGATTTGTTTATATGTTTTTGTAATGGGTAAAACGACAACCTTCCCATAAACGAAAACCTTCCCTGTTGATATGTCTAGTGTGTGTCCTTTTAGCCCTGCCCCTAAATTTAAATTTTCTTTTTTAACTTTTCTTTTTTAGAAGCAAATACGTCGTCCACATTGACAAAATTACTCGTGAAAAGGCTAATGGAACAACTGTGCATGTTGGTATTCATCCATCTAAAGTTGTTCTTACAAAACTTAAAATGGACAAAGATCGTCGTGCATTGCTTGAACGTAAAGCTGCTGGACGTGAACGTGTTACTGGTGTTTTGAAAGGGAAACATACAGAAGAGACTATTGAAGAATAAAAATTGAAAAGATGGAAATTTTAAGAGAAAAATTTTCGGTTATTTTTAAATAAAAGTTGTTGTTGAAATTTTTCTTTTTGTGTTAAAAATGTTAAAAATTTTTGTTTGATTGTTTAAATTGGATTTTTAAAATCCTTCCTCTATTAGACAGGCTATTTTTTTATTTACTATTTTTATTGCAAATTAAGGTTTTTCGTCATTTGGGGATTGTCCGCAAGTTTTGTCCGCAAATTTTTTTCTTTGGGTTTCCTTATTGATTTTTGCTTTTTTTGAAGTTTATTTGTAATAAATTTCGCTATTACTTTGGCTGATGCCCTCCCTCCTCCTTTCCTGTTTCCTTAACCATTTTAAGCTCTTGATTACTATCAAGTTTCTATAAAGCATTTTGTATTTTCAGCGTTCTTTAAACAAAATAAATTTTGGGTTGCTGAACAATTAAAATGCCACCACAGGGAAAAAATAAAAATAAAAAGGTCAGTCAACTTGGAGGCACAATTTCTGGACCAAAAAGTAGTGGTAGGAATAATGGACAAAAACGTTTTGAAGAAGCTGGAGAATCCTCTAGCAGTTCAAAACAAAATGAAGAAACAAAAAAAGTGGTAATTAAGAAAAGCACATAAGGTTTTAAATCTTAACTATTTTCTTTTAGCTAAAGGGAAAAGAAAATGTGAAACCAAAAGAAGTGCCTTCCAGTTCGGAACAGTCTCCAGAAATTAAAGCCTCAAACCCCAGCAAGGTTTTGTCTAACTTTCTTGTTTCTTTTTATTTTTAGTTGCTTGTGAAAAATTTTTTATCTGTTGTGTCTGGCGGTGGTGATGAGGCTATTCTTTCTGAAAATTCTTTTGTTGCTGGCAGTGGTTTAGGAATTATTTTAGAAGAGGTTTTGCTTTATTTTTTATATTATCTCTTAACTCATTTTTAGTCTTCTTCAATTCAATCTAATCCTGAAGCCGCTAAAGCGAGCAATAAACGAAAGCGAAATAGAAAGGTAATTTACAATTTTAAAGGAAAAAACAAATTCTTAATTTAATTTCATTTTATTCATAGAACAAAAAAGAAAATGAAAAAAAAATGTCTCCTACTCCTGAAGGAAATAAATCTTCCGAACTTGGAAGTAGCGCTGGTTCTGGTACTATTAGTGAGGTTTTTTTAATATTTTTGGGTTATATTTGAACTTATTTTTAGCCTGAAACTAAACGTTGTGCTGGAGAAGAAGAATCCGGAGTCCCTTGTATATTCAAAAAGAGTTATTTAAAAGTAGCGAAACGTAATAAGATGTTTAAAGAACAGAAAGAGGAGTTTGAGAATACCATTCTTCAAAAAGATGAGGATTTTAAAGCATTGGTGAAGGAACTAGATGGATGTTTTGAAAAGAATAAAAAATTAAAGGTTTATTTTATGTTGTTCTATATTGAGTCTATCCTTTTCTAAGGAGATTTACTAAAAATTTTTGATTAAATTCATTTAAATTTAGGATGAGATTGCCGTTACAAAAGCTGAATTGAAGACTGTGAAAAATAAATTCGAAAAACTTGAGAAATTTCATGTATTAATTTGATTTTTATTTATTCATTTAAATTTTTTACTTGACAGTTTTTGTTGGAAATTCCTCATAATACAGTTGTAAATATAAAAGAAATGATGGATTTAGATGCTGAAAAATTTTATGAAAGAATTTATGAATTAAATATTGAGTTATGTCATTCAGCTGGAAAAAAGAAACGCAAAGTTCAAAAGAAGATATACAAAGACCCAAGAGAACTTTTGGATAAGGCAGAAAAAATTTTAGCTGATGAGGGTGATGGCATTTTTGCTTGTGAATTAGTTTTGTTTTAATTCTTTTAAAGTACATTTTTTGTTTTATTTTAGATTTGGGCTTCTTTTGCCCTCGTCATGGCTAGATTTTTTATGAAGTGGAATTTAAATATTAAAAGTCACCGAGCTTTGGGAGAATTAGCAAAATACACCGTTAGATTTCATAAGAAGCCATCGGCTCGTGATTTTCTCAGACTTTTTGTAAAGGACATTCACAAGTATTTTTTGTTATATTTTATTATATTGGTTAAGAATTTTAACTTATTAGTATATTAGTAATAAAACCGGGTAGCTTTTATATTTAATTATACAACTGATAATTTGAGTGGGTTTATTGCCTTCTAATTAGGTCCGCCCTCATGAAAGGATTAAAATTGATTTTATAACTTTTCAGCACACATCGCATTTTCTATTCTGGGAAGTACGAAATAGAAGAGGTTGAAGAGTATATAAAAGATTCACGCAAATTTATTAACTACATGAAGGCAATCAACGAAATTGCTCTTTTTGCTGATTTTAAATATTATTTTCCATCAGGGGATGAATTGTACAGAGAGTTTGCTCAAAAAGTTTATATAAATGTTATTAATGAAGATATTTGTGTTTTTGGTGATGGTCCGTATCGTTTCTATTACCAAGCTGCTGATACTCCTCAGACTGTTGCAACTCAAGAGACTGTTAAAACTCCAAAGAAGTAATTATTTTTGAAGTTTAATTTTCATAAAAATTTTGTTTCAAAACAAAATAAAAATTTTGTTTCCTCTTTTAAAATTTATTGTTATTCTTTTTTAAAAGCATATTCATTGTTTTGAGTGGGAGCATTTTGTTGTGAATTTTTTTGCTTTCTTCTCTCTATTTATTTGTTGTTTTTCAAAAAATCCTTTCTTTAGTGGGGGAAATTGATTGTATATTTTTCTCTCTTTTTTTTAAATTCATTTTCAAGTATTTTAGCGAGGTTTTTAAGTAAATCTTGACCTTTTTTGACATGTTTTTTGTATATTAGAATAATGGGATTTGTTGTGTAATATTGACTTGAAAAAAATTTTTTTAATGATTTTTCACACAAATCCTATATTATTTATTTTAATTTATTTTTTCAAAAATTCTTTTTCTCATGAAAATAAAAATATAAGCTTATGTAAAGCTTTGAATGATGAAAAATTTAAAAATATTTATACTTTTAAAAAATTTATTTCTTATGATTTTATTCCTTCAAAATTTTTTAGCAATTCTTTTCTGCATGGGGAAGCAACAAAGATCAAGAATAATGAAGAAAAAATTAATTTTAAAAATAAAAAGAGGAAAATTAGAAGAGCAATGGACTTGAAAACTTTGGAAAATAAATCGAAAGAAACGCCAAAATGTAAAATAAAAAATGGAGAAATTTATGGAGAGGAAGGAGAAGAAGGGAAAAAGGCGAGAATAATGAAGAATAGAAATGGATTTTGGACACAGGTTTAAAAATTTTTGAATCGAGAAGAATTTTTCGAATTTAGATTGTTCATCCACCTTCTCCAAAAGAAAGGGATTGGGTTATGATGACAGGAGTTGAACATGTAATCGATGGGGTGTTGGTTTGTTCTTTGTCATATGGAGGTTAATTTTTGATATTTAAATTTTTTTGAGATTTCAAGACCCCGTTAATTATAACCGCTTAAGGGAAGGAAATTGGGTCGTCAAAAATATTTCCTTTCACCTTTTGGTTGGAAAAAATCCATTTTTGTAATAAGGGGTTGCTTTTAGAAAGGAATCCTTTCACTCCTTTTTTTCTCTATAAGTTCTCGCTGGTAACCACCAAAAGAATTTTTACAGCTCTACTTTGTTTTAAACAGCTCCTCCTTTAATTTAAAAAATCGCATTTTAAATAGAGAATTGTATGTTTATTGGGAGTGATCATTATTGAGGATTAACGGGGTCTTGAATTTTCAAAAAAATTTCTTGCTCATTTTTTAAATTAATTTTTTTCAATTTTTAGGTCGCCTAGTCTCAATGGGACATTTTTGGGATACTCTTGGTCGTCTAAATTATTATGCAATAATGCACAAATTTAATGGGCCTGTATTTTTAAAGCCTGAACCGATGACTTATTCTGAATTGTTAAAAGAAGCACAGTAAACAAATTTTTTGGATAAAATTAAAAAAATTTATTTTTAAAGAGAAAACGAAGAAGTCGACTTGGCATTAACTCAACTATGTGGGCAAGACGATGATGGAGATGGAAAAGTATATTTTAGTACTTATTGGGAAAGATTGCCTGGAGTTACTACGAGGGTATTTTTTAATTTTTTTTTTATTTTATGGTGTAGCCTAAGAAATTTATTTTTGGGAAAGAACTTGGGTGGATGGAAAATCCATTTTGGTGTTTTTATTTAAAAACGAATGGCTGCCCTAATTTTTTATTTAATCGGTGTTCTTTTTGTGTCTGCGAGAGGTTTTCTCCTTCCTTTTCTTAGCCTCTCCTTAATACTACTTACGAGCTAAAAAAATTTTTTTAGATTCAGCAGAAAATCGTTTACAAAAAATATTCTATTTTTACAGATTTGGTTTCCCGGTTCGCCAGAATCTGATCAACAAAAATCAATTTTTGAAAGAGACGGATTTAGATTGATTAGCCTTTGTGGATATAACATAAAAAATGTAAAAAAATAATTTTTTTTTTAATTGAAAGTCTTTTTTTATTTAGAGAACAGCTCGTTATGTGGGTATATGGCAAAAATCAACAGCAAAAAATGTGTCCTCCTTAAATCCATACGAAGCACATTATGGCTTAACATTGAGTGAATGTTTGGAAATTAATGATAAATTGAGCAGCAGGTTTTTTGAATTTTTTGTAATTGAAAGAGAAATTTAATTTTAAAGGCAATATGTGGCTGTACAATTCAGAGTGTTTCGCAGCTTGGATGAGGTTAAAATTAAATTTAAAAAAGATTTTCTGGAAGAATTGTTTCCGGAAAGGTGGTCTGTTTTTATTTAAAGGATATTTCAGTATTTTATTTGAGAGTGGGAGTGGTTGTTGTTTTGGTCGATTGGTTAAGGGTTCTGGCTGCGGGATTAGTTATTTTCTTGGGGTCGAGGGTTCGAATCCTTTGGGGAGCATTAATTCGTTTTTTTAATTTTTTAAACAAAAAATGTTTTTTAACGATTGCTAAGGGTGTTGTAGGGTGTTCTAATTTTTTTTTGATTTTTAAAATTAATATTTTTAAATTAACACAGATTCTCTGCTGTGCAATTTGGGAATATTTACCAGGCCATCGTCATTGGATAGAAATTGGTCTAAATTTAAAACAAATGCATCAAAAATTTTCACGGAATATTTTTAAAAGGTTTATTTTTGTTTTTTGAAATTTAAAATAAATATTTTTTTTCTAAAATTTAAGCAAAATAGTCAAACGAGAAAATTCAAAATTAATTTCTTCTTCTATTCTACCTCGTCAAATATCTCATTTTTTTGATGGGGATGGTGAAAGTTTGAGGTTTGTTGTGCTATGGAGTGATGTTAATTACTTGAGATTCTCGAGAGAACCAGAACTTTGGCCGATGGGAAGGAGGTTTAATTAAATTTTCGAATTTTGGGCGTTTTGGGTTTTCGACATTTTGAGAGATTTTTTGAAAATTTTTTTGAAAATTAAAAATAAATTTTTTTTATTAAATTTAGAATCCCCTCTACTTATCTGAACGGAGTGGAATCTCAATTACAACCTGAAAAATTAAATTTTGTTGCTAAACGTGTTGAACGATTTATGCGTGAACTTGACATTCCTGGTATTCTTTTTTAAATCTTTAATAAAAAATAAAATTTTATTTTTTTATGTTTGTCTGTGGCTGTTTCAAAAGATGAACAACTTAAATACGCAGCAGGTTTAATTTAAAAAATTGCCAAAATTTTAAATTAATTAATTTTTTTAAGGTTTTGGCTATAGCAATATTCGTCGAGGTCAGTTGGTTACTTCAGACAGTCAATTTAGAATTGGATCTGTTTCGAAACCAATAACTGCTGCTGCTGTTCTTTTATGTAAAAATTAATTTTTAAAAATTAAAAAAAAATTTTAATTAATTTAAGTAATTGATCAAGGCCGCTTGGAATTGGATCAACGCGTTTTTGGTCCAGGAAATTCAATATTTGGTTTTCTTTTTAAAATAAAATTTTTTACATTATTTATTTTAAGGTGATGAATTTGCTCGTAAAAAGCCTTATGAAAAATGGGTAACAGAAATTACCGTTCGTCATTTACTTGAACATACTGCAGGTTATTTTTTGAAAATTTCGGCAATTATTTTTTCCCCAAATTTCGGGCATTTGGAATTTTTTACAATATGAATTATTTCCTTTTTTCGACATTTTGACACCAAAATTTTTTTTGATTTTTTGACGTCAATTTTTCGACATTTTGACACCAAATTTCTTTCTAAATTTCTAAATATTTTTTAAGGTGGCTGGAACAATATAGATTCAGACCCAGCATGGCTTTTACCAACACAAAACACCGCAACTTTAATAGAAAAAGTTTTGATTGAACAGCCATTAATTACCCAACCTGGAAAGACTTGGATATATTCAAATTTTGGGTATCAATTGCTTGGATATATTATTGAAAGAGTTAATATTGATGGATTTGGATATGAACAATTTGTTAAAAAATATTTTTGGGAACAAGTGGGAATAAATGATATTCAAGTGGCGAGGCCTACACTTTCTGAAAAATCGAGGTTTTTTTTATTTTTTTGGGGGAAAAATTTCTTTTGTTGGGAGGGGGGAGTTGTTTTTACTTTTAGGGAAATATTCAAAAGCTATTAGTTATGCTGTTTAAACAAGGATTCCCGTTATTTCCAAAAATACCGGGAAAAGGGACAGGGCCCGTCTTCTGGGGGGGGGGGCCGTCTTCTTCTGGGTTTGAATTTAAGCTGGTTGATTATTTGTTTTTTTGAACAACGTTTTAGTATAGGTCCTAATTGTTGGAGCTGGTGACTCAAACCACAGCCTGTTCATTTAGGTGAGAAAAGGTCTGACCATTATGTACCTTTTAAGGAAAATAGAAAATAATCCGACTGGGAGAAAAAGAAGAAGAACCAAAATTATTTGTTTTTTTGGATAATTAATTGTTTTTAATTATTTTTATAGGCGTGAAGTTCTCTACGTATGTTTTTATGCCATTGGTTTATTTTTAAAAATAAATTCAAAAATATTTCTAGTATATGGCTGGAGGTAACAGACTTGGATTTAACCCTTATGATCTTTTGCCTGCTGAGAGGATTGGTATTAGAATTTTTTAAGAATTTTAAAAGAATTTTTTTAGGTCCGTGGGGTGGTTGGATTGCTTCACCAATTGAACTTCTCCGTTTATTAATTTTTTTGGATGGATTTAAAAGGCAGGAAGACATTTTAAGTGATTGGGCAATAAAAGAATGGGCTACACCAACAATTGCTTCCAACGAAACGTTTGATTTTTAGTTCTAAAAATTTTTGGGATTTTTTTTGAATTTCGGTCTCTCTCACGGAAAATTATTGATGAATCCGGAATGCTTATAGTTTTTAAATAAGTTGTTCTCATTAAGTCGGCTGTGGTGCAGTTGGTTGTGTCCGGGTTTTGTGGTTGCAAAGTTATTGGTTCGATCCCCTGCTTATTTTTCTACTTTTTTTGCTAAATTTGATTCCCAAAAATTGAAAGAACCAACATTTAAAAATTTTAAAAGTCAAAAATTTTTTTAATATTTTAAGTTACGGCCTCGGCTGGTCTCTAAATATTATGGGTTTTAATGGTTGGCAACACGATGGAAGAATGCCCGGTTCTGCTTCAATGCTTGTTCGTTTAGATAACGGAATTTCTATGGCTGTTGTTGTAAATAAAGAATATAGTGATAGGGACTTTTTTCATGAACTTGGGTATATTCTTCACCATTTTGGAAGTAATTGTGATTGGTGGAATGGAACAGGTTTTGATTTATTTGGAGAAATGGAGAATTGATAAAAAAATTTAAATAATTTAATTTATTTTTCAAATTAAATAAATTTATTTAACTGGCAATGAGAGAGAAAAAAATGTTTGATATGGGGAGATCTAAATATAACATATAAGTATATAAGGTGAGAGAGAAAATTAAAATAAATTATTAGGAGATATTAGGAGGAAGGGGGGGAGGATTTAAGGTCGACGGATCCCCCGATTCAAATAAAACCGAAAATTATCGGATCGAATCCTGATGTTCAGAGATTTCCCAGGATCCGTCAACCTTTGTGCTGATTAAAAAATTAAAAGGGGGAATGTTTTTATTTTTTAGAATTACAAGTAGGCAATAAACTAGGCAAGTTAAACTAACAGTAAATTATAACAACCGGGACCTCGATTTTTATGTGTTGAAAAATTATCAAAAAAATTTTTGGTGAAAATCGAGGTACCAAATTATATTTTAATACAAGTAAATAAAACTAGACGTTAAGCTAAATTAAATGAGTGTTTTTAAGGGTTTGGGCAAGAGTGGCGAGTTTTATGTTAAAGAGCGAGTTTTTTGTTAATATTGAATTTTGGGAGAAAAAATGTCAAAAAAATAAAAAAATTTTTTAAACAAAAACCCGTCCTCTAACTTTATGAGCAAAATATAACAAAAAATACCTACTTAAATCTCTTTCTCTTCTAATTAATTATTCAATTTTTTCACTTCTCTCCTTTAATTTTCTTGGCATATTCTGCCCTCATTTGTTTATAATTTATTAATAATTCGTCTAAAATTGGAGAGGGTTTTAAAAGTTTTTAAAAATTAAAAAAAAACTTACAAACACTTTTTTCTAAACCAATAGCTTCACAATCCATCCCTTCAGATTTTAAAATTCGATGAGTACAAACAACCATTTTTCCTAATAAAAGAGAATCATCTTCAGTTGGGTCTTCCAAAATGGTAGTGGTGGTGGTATCATTAATAGAAGTAAACGTTTTTGTTGTGTCTGTTAAAAAATTTTATGAGGGTTTTTAACTTTTTAGAGGAATTTCCTTAAAGTTAAATTTCAAATCCCACATATCCATTAGCCATCAAAATTTTCAAGAAAAATTTTCCTTCCCAAAAATATGATTTAATGGTCTAAATCTTGAGAGCCCCAGATTCACCTCTCTCGGAGGTAAAAGAAATTTTAACTTATAATGAGGTATTTAGACAGCTTCCTCCCACCCATAGGACAACCAATATGTCAAATTTAAATTTAGGGAAAAAAGTTTTATATGAAAAAACCTATTGTTTTGTTTGGTGTCTCATGAATTATAGCAGTTGCAACACTTTTATTAGCATCTTCATTATTATTATTTTTAGTGTTTTCATCATTATTAGTATTATTATTAACTGGTTGTTGTTCTTCTATAACATTTTCAGCAGATTCAGCATCCTCAATAATTTGTAGACCTTTTTAATAATTTTTTAAAAGATTTTTGAGAGAGGTTTTAAAATTGTTTAGGTCATTTCTAAGATTACGAGATCATTTCCAATTCCTTTCCTTTACCCCGTCTTATTCATCTTTCTTTACCAACTGCCCCATAATTATGAGACCTCTTCACATCCTCAATTTGACTTTCCTATGACATTCAGAGAAAGATTAAGGAAAGAGAATGTTTGACTACTAGATATGAGAGTTGAGGAAGGAAAGAGGAGTGGGTGGGATTTTTGTCCCGAAATTTTTTTTTCAAAATTTACACACACATTTAATTATAAAACCTTCATTCCCGCTATCCTCATCATTATTAACAAGATTTTCTCCTCCAATATTATTCCCAAATTCAGCATCAAGCATTGTCAAATCTGAAGGAGAATCATCAGTTGTTAAATTTCCTTCATTTAAATCAATTAAAGAATTTATCAAGTCAAATCCTTCATTTTTATTATTATTTTCGGGTTCTTCAGTCATTTCTTTTTTTGCCCGTTTTTTCCTTTTTGGTTTTTCGTCGAGACTTCTTTTGTGTTTTTGTGTGTTTGTATTATTAAGAAAAGCCATTTCTTGTAAAAATTTCCATTTGGAGTCAGACTTCCGACGTTCTCGACGAAAACAAACGTTTAAAATACGCCAAGAATTTCGAAGAGAGGTGACTGGAAAATTAAAAAAAATTATTTTGGATGAGAAAAAGGGTGAAAAAGGAGAAAATGGTTTAAAATTGTTGAAATAAAAATATTTTTCGAGAAGAGGGTTCGAACCTTAACCTTTTTGAATGGATGAAATAAAGATTTTCCCACTACACCACAAAAACAATGAGCCAAAAAGCAAAAACAAGGATAGAATTGGTGAAATAAAAATTTCTCGGGAAAGGGTTCGAACCTCAACCCTTTGGCTTGGATAAAAACTAAGATTTTCCCACTAAACCACAAAGACATATTTATGAAAAAACCTGTAAATTCTCAAAAAAGGGTTGAAAAAGGAAAATAAAGATAAAATACTTGAAATAAAAATATTTTTCAAAGGAGGGGTTCGAACCTTGATCCTCTGGCCGGGATAAAACTAAGATTTTCCCACTAAACCACAAAAACATTTTTTATAAAAAACCTGTAAATTCCCGTTTAAATTCTTTAGACATATCGTCAACAAGTGAATTAAATTCGTCATGTTTATTTTTCCAAGATAATCCATGTGAAGAATCCCAAATAGTTGGCTTGTCACGAATTAAAGAAATTAAGTGAAATTTTTCTTTATCTGAAAGGGGCTGTGTTTCCATTTTTTGTTGTTTAATTTTTGGTTTTTAAAGAGAAATTAAATCTAAAATGAAAGAAAGAAATGTATTGAGTGGTTAATCAATTAACAATTTTTAATTTTACAGTAAAAATTAAGCAAAAACTCTCGTGATGTTAAAAAGATTAAAAATTAATTGGTTAAGTGTTACATTTTATTAAAGTTGATGTTTTGATGATTTTTGGCTTGAAAATTTCAAAATGTCGAAAAGTTGAAAAAATGTCAAAATGGCTAAATTCCGCTGTATCTTCCTTTACTCTCTCATGTTTCTGATTCTCTAACTTACACTAACTTGTTTTGTTGAGTTTTTGAAGGATTTCGAAGAGAAATTACAAAATGTCTAAAAGAAATAAAATTGACATAATCCTAAATTTTTTCTTTCCTTTCCTTCATTCTCTCATTTCTTTATTTCTCTTTCTATTGTTTAACGTGCTATTTCATTTTAGATTTTTATTTAAAAAATTCTCAATTTTTGTGGATAATGTTTGACAGAATAATTCAACAACTTTTACACAGTGAACAGTTTATTCAAAAGGTATTTTTAAATATTTTTAATGCTGTAGGAACTCAGTTTTACAACTAGATTTGCGTACACTTTCTATTTTACGTACAAAATTTTTTGAAGAGTTGACTAGCCTAGGCTTTGGGAGTGGGTGGGTAGGTGGAGGGAAGCCCTAAGCGTCACCTCCAAGTTTTACGTACAATTCAGTTATAAGGAGACTTTTTTGCAACCCCAAGGGTGTACTTACAACCTAGACCTTTAAACTTAATGATCGCTTTTTTTCGTTAAGTTAGCGGATTCTTCTCCAATTCGCCGAACAGCTCGTTTCCTCATCCGGACAACCTTTGGAGCCAAATCAAAAATTTTAAATAATAAAAGAATTAAGAGATTTGGACAATTATTTAGAGAAGAATATCAAAAATCGATTAAAGGAAAGTAAACTTATATTTTATTTTAAATTAGTTTATCCGCAAAAGTTGTCCGCAAAAATTTTTATTTAAAAATAATTTTTGATTAAAATTTTTAAAAAATTTTTTGAGACTTTTTAGACATATTTTTAATTGTAAAATTAAATTAAAAGAAAAAATAAATAATTTATTATTTTTAAAAGACATTTTACAATTAATTTTTTTTCTATTCCCGTGGGAAATTTTTTAACAAAAAAAGTAAAAATAAAGACAAATTGTGTAAAGGATGGGGAAAGGCTTTGAATTTTATATTTTTCTTGTTTTAAAGGCAACAAAAATAGTTAAATATTTTTATTAATTTGTTTTAATTTTTTGAATTTTGCGGACATTGAATTTGTCCGCAAGTTTTGTCCGCAAATTTTTTAAAATTAATTTTGAGTTTTTTATTGGTATTGGGGCTGGTAAAATATTTCATAGGTTTGGGATTTGATTAAAAATTTTTTTGAAACCCTGGCTTCTTAAACCTCTGCCCGTGAACTGAACTTATCCGCAAAAATTTGTCCGCAAATTTTTAATTAAATTTTTCTCTTCAATTAATTTTAAGGTTATTTTTCCTTTTCAACTCAGAAACATTCTCCAAAACCCTTATTTCTTTACAAAAATTTTCCCATGCTAAATTGGGCATTTTTTTAGTTAAAAAGAAAATATAAACATAATAAATGTCGCCGCTCATTTGTCATTTTTTCTTTTTTTTAAGGTTGTTAGGGTAAATAAATAATAAAAAATATTCTTTATTTTGTTTGTAATTTATCTTTTTTAGTTTTTTTTTTGGCTGTCACATTTCTTCTGGGTCCTCAAAATTTATTTTTATTAGTTGGTGTAGTTGTGGTTAAGTTGGTTAGCTGTCTGTTTCTCCTTGTAGGGGTCGTGGGTTCGAACCCGTTTGGGGGAAAATAATTTTCTTTTTCGTCTTTTTGAAGAAAAATGATAAGAAAAATATTTTTAAAATTTGTATTTTTATTTTTATTTCTGGTAGTTGTGGTTAAGTCGGTTAGGTGTTTGTTTACCCTTATATGGGTGGCGGGTTCGAATCCTTTTGGGTGAAAATTATTTTTTTTCATCTTTTTTATAGAAAAATAAGAAAATTATTCATTGATAAAAAATTTTTTAAATTAAAAATGAATAATAACAATACCCAAAATATTAATCCCCCAATATTCCCTTCCCTCTCAATTCAACCACTTGGAGATTTGCGCATATTTGGAGTTTCGTCTCGTTTAGTTTATGGTGAATTTAAAATTATTTTTTAAACAAAAAATTTTAAAAAATTAAAGAGGGCAGTCCTTGTGACGCCTTTCCCTGTTGGAATGGAGGTATTTGCATTGAATTGCGCAGAAGAAAAAATTTAAATAAATTTAAACAAGAAGAAAAAATTAAAAGAGAAGGGAAAAAATATTTTTGTAAATGTAAAAAATATTTTGGTGGAGAACATTGTGAAGAAAGATTAATTATGGTGGATTTTTTAAATTTATTTTTAATAAAAATTTTAAAAAATGAAAGAAAAATTAATTTCCTCCGAAAGGGTTCGAACCAGAGCTGCACGAAAATAAAATTTCGCACTCAACGAAACGAAACGAAAAAAAAATAAATTCGTCAATGTACGAAACGAAAACGAAACGAAAAAATAATTTTTATTTTTGCGAAACGAAAGAAACGAAAAAAAATCAAAATTTTCACGAAACGAAACGAAACGAAACGAAAAAAAATCAAAATTATAAAAATGCCTAATTTATTAACTAATTCACCTCCAGAGCTTAATTTAGTTACAAAGATGCCTAATTTATTGTGGTGTTGATAATTTATTCGCGATGGTCTAACTATAGAACTGAAAAAATCAATGTTCAAATCGCTAGATCCCCTGAAATCCCTTCAAATCCCTAAATCCTATTTGATTATCCAAATTTTCTGATATTACAGATTTACGGAGTAAAAGTATATAGAGGAATTAGGCTGTATCCGGTCCGGCTCAGGTTACAAATCCGGGTCAAACAAAATCGATTGTTACTTCAATACTTCTTGCTCTACCGATGTCAAGCTCATATTCTACTATATACCCTCGATTTCCCCTATATCCCTCATGATCTCATTAAAACAATGGGACTGAACAGAGGTATATACATACGAGGGAGACCAGCCTTGATAAGATCCCACTATACCCTAAGATACCTTTGCTAATGCCTCGCTTTTCATCCATTTTTCAGCGCCTCAGGAGAAAATTTTGAGTTTGAGATGCCTAGATCGATTGATCTTAGAAGTAACAATCGATGTTACTTGTTACCTAGAAGCCAAAGTTCTTCCTTTTTCAGCGTCGCAGTCAGAAATTTTGAGAATTTTGGAAGGCCAAGAAGGCAGATTCCTTCTTTTTCAGCGCCGAAGGCAAAAATTTTTTAAATTTTCAGTCCCCGGGAGAAAAATTTACAATTTTTAACTTAAAAATACGACAAAATAGTAAAAAAATTGTCTAAAAATATTGAATATTTTTTCGTCATTTTCGTCTAAAAATGGCATGTTACGAAACGAAAATGAAACGAAAATATATTTTTAAAGAAATACGAAACGAAAGAAACGAAAAAAATTATTTTTTAACGAAACGCGAAACGAAACGAAAACCATCAAAAAATCCACGAAAATCTACGAAACACGAAACGAAACGAAAAATTTTCGTGCAGCTCTGGTTCGAACCTTGCACCCCTTCAAGGAGGAACACACAACTAACCAAATTGACCAAACTGGTCACATTTGGGAGGATTATAAGGCATGAATAAAAATAGAAGAGAGCCCCATTTAAGCCACCTTATTATAAAAATTCAAATAGGATGGTTTGGTTAAGTTGGTTAGTTGTGTGTTCACCCTTGGGAGGGGTGTAAGGTTCGAACCCTTTCAGGGCAAATTAATTTTTTCTTCTATTTTTTATTTAAAATTGATAAGAAAAACATGTTTTTATGCTATGATTTGCTTAAAAATTTTTTTATAAATTCTAAAAAAATATTTAGCCAAATAAAGAATGCTCCAATCAACTACTTCCTTGCCCCAACGGAACTTTTTGTTGGTTTAATAAATTAAATACAACTTCAGAATGTATTTCTTTAGAAGAACTAAATGCCAGAAAATACGGTAATTAATAGGAAAATAAGAAAAAAGTAGGTGTGGTTAAGTTGGTTAGGGTTGTGTTTCCCTTGTATAGGGGTCGTGGGTTCGAACCCGTTCAGGGGAAATAATTTTTTTTCTCGTTTTTTTTAAAGAAAAATGATGAGAAGAATGTTTTTCAGACTTGCCTATTTTTATCTTTAATAATGGAAAAGTAT